CCAGCACTAGCTAAGTCTTACCTTTGTCCGAGAACAAAAACACTATCTACGACAAGTTGATTGTGGTACAACTATTTCAGTATATTGTTTACATTCAATTTTTTTAGAAAAATTTATATTGTTTACGTGATTAACATGTCCAAACAGTCGAAGGCGAACATATCATATTTATATTTATCATATCATTTAAAATCTTCTCTAAATTAGAATACCAACAAAAAAAAAACATTGAAAGCATTTCAGTAATATCTTAGAAATCGTAAAATAGAAAAAGAAAAACAAACACAATATCATTTTATGTTGTTAATATCAAATATTATTTAACTAAAAAATTATTAAATATTATTTTATTAAGAGGTTGTAGTGGAGTGGTTCCTCTCCAATATAATAATATTTGATTCATTAAATCTAAACCAGAGATCGAATATTTTTGGATGCGGATTTACTTCCGAATAAAAAAAATATCAAATAGTAGTTTTCAATTAAATTCCAACTGTGTTATCATTTTGGTCGAATGCATGAATCAATTTTTGTTTTAGTTCGGTGGAATTTACCTACTAACTATAAATCATATAATTACCCTATATTATGAGATAAACATCGTACCTTTATGTCATTCTAACGTTTTATGTTCCAATTAACTAAAAATCAAAATCTAATCCATCAGATTGAGGCCATGCATTGTCTCTGTCCACCGACTAAATTAGTACAAACCAAAGTAACTAGAATCTTTGGTAATTGTGCTGCTCTTTTTGTTTTTTGTTGTTTTAGAAGATACTATTAATAACTTCTCTATCAAGGATTCTATTTCTGTACCCAATGTTTCAACAGCTAAAACTCCTCGAAATTTTCACACCATGAACCTGCAAAAGGATAGTATATATATGTACATGCCAATCTCCAATTATTATCGAATTATTTCGTAAACTACCCTTTACGGATTTTTCCCACTTTCCTAAAATTTTATTTCTATTTTTCTCTGAAAAGACGCATCATCAGATTAATAAGATAAACTAAGGGCCACGGCAGCAAATTAATACCAAGGAATATGATCTAAAGAGAAACTATTTCTGTGTAAGAAAAACCATAAACTAAACTCAAAGTTGTACAATGGTTCATTCATTTTGTGGGCTAGAAGATCTAATTCAAATATATTCACTAATTCACTACTATAATTTTATAATCATAGTTGACAATTGCAGAAAAAAGTGAAAATACCGATCGACGTCTTTCTATGTATGGTTTGTGGATAGTATGAGTTTCGATGAGGGAATTTATGGTTGTTCAATAAACCAACATCTGAAATGAGTATTATCTATAAAGCATTTAAGATAATAGATATTCTTGGTTGGTTTCACTCTCATGTAAATATAAAATTGGAAGAAATAGTTATTCAAGCATTCATATCTCATCCAATATTTAGTTGTTCTAATGACCTATATATTTTCTCAACTAAGACCTAAAATAGTTTTTCTATCAATGAGAGTATATTAATGCTGTTTAAATTAACAAAATAAGTCGAAGGGAATACAAATTTATATTCATAAGGTGAAACGTTGTAAGAAACTTGAAAAGGTTTCAAAAAAAAAAAAACGTTGTAAGAAACTATAGAGCAATAAGGGTTTGAACTTCAAAAATACTTGGCGTGGAAAAGTGTGATAAAGAATAACTTAGTTCATTTATTTATTAGTGAAAATCTAAACCAAATCTATGCATCTTTTGCTATTTCATGGGCTCTTTTTAGTTTATTCGATTTTGTTTTCGGTTTCTTGAGATGCCTAAAATTTGAGACGAACAAAGAGGAGGCCCTCCCCATTAACTTTGCTGGCTTAAAGTGACAAAGAAAAGCGAAAGATAGCTGATTTTCAATTTTAGAGCATGCTACCTTTTTTTTTCTAAAATGAACGTCTCAATCTTTTACTTTTTAAAAATCTTCAAGCATATGAAAACTTTCAGATTGAAATTAAAGAAAAAACACTCAAGTATAGTTAATTCAACTATGAGACAATCTATGCTAATTACAGTAATTAGTAATTGTTTGTCTATTCTGAATTTGAATATACAATCTTAAACCCTCGTTTCTATTTCTAATGATTGATGAGAACTATAAATGCTTCGCGGACTGGATTAATCCACGCTGACATAATTGATTTTACACGACAATTTTTTTTTGTTTTTCTTAGGCTTTGTCCGGTTTACTCCAATTCGACCATGCAGGTTACTACACCGCGACCAATCATCTAAAATGTGTCGTACTTTTGATAGATTTGACTGGTTCAAACTAGTAGGAACACAACTAACTATATATATGAATCGGTTTAAAACTAACCATTAATTTATGGATATTTACTATTTAGTCTACCATACCATCATCGGATGGAAACGCATCCACAACCACCAATGAGAACCCAATCCCTCATTTTCTATTCATATTTTCTCAGGTGGATATGAAATTTGGCGTTGGAGGAACCAAAGTTTCCATAAAGCTTAAAGAAGTGCATTTACATCTTTCTAGGGACTAGGGTTCCAGATACACTTCTACAATTTTTGTTTTGCATGTAATTTCAGAGAAACGAGACTTAGTGGAGTGGCTTCTTTTCACTTTGTTTTTCGATCGCAAAACTTTCTTAGTATATGGCTGTGGGTTCGACTTTATTTCAATTGCAAAACTTTCTCAGTAAATGGCTTGGCTACTTTGTTTTCTTTCAAAGCTTTATTAGTAAATGGCTATGGGGTTCAACTTTCTCTCTTTTCCTCATGTATTTATTTTGCATATTTTTCTTGGTTTTTTCTATTATTTTTGCTTAGAGATTTTCTTTGGCGTGAATTTACGTTTTCTTAAAATTTATGTTCTTATATACATTTTACCAATACTTATAAGAGAATACCAACATTTTTAGCATTAATTAAATATATCCTTTTTTGTCAATATAAATACCTAGAATGGCTCAAAAACTTTCTTGAATAATTGCTAAGTGTAGAAAATTCCAAGTCAAAGAGAAACTTCATTTTAGCTTGGTCTGAGGTCGCTCACTTGACAATCACTCTTTTTAGTAAACCGATTTAAGTGTTTAAACCGGATCGTTGGACCCTGTTAGACTCGGTTAAGACTTTAAATGGTAAGAATCTATGATGTACGTACGGAGTGTCGACGGAACGTATATCATAATACCATTGTGTTTTTGGTAAATCATTCGTGCCAGCGTAACCTTTTTTTTTTAATAAACTTTAAAACTTTCGGATTTTTGGTCCAAACTCCAAACTGTTGATAATATCATATTTAATGCGTAAATCACCATCAAGTGAAGTTGAACAAGCGATTGAACCTGAACCATGTCTTGTTTTTGCCAAGGTATAAAATATCGGTTTGATGTATGATCTATAAACTCGTAAACTTATGGTGTCATACCTCGCTTTTTTTTTTTCAAATTAAGAGAGTGATCGATACAAATCAAACTCTGCGCATGTGGTTTGAAAATTTTCGTATTTATTTATTTTTGGGTCCAATATTTCCTCAACTACTTAAATAACAAAATTTACTAGTTTATAGTCCTGACCAAACAAAAAAAATTATTAGTGCACTTTTCTTTTATTAATAATCGCCAGTAAAGTGTGGATCGAAGTCTAACGTGTAGCTTCGATTAATTATCAGAATCAAATGATCCAATTGTAGATTCGGGAAGCAACATTTATTGACTGGACTAGTCTAGGGGTTTAACAAATTCTCTTAATGGAACGAAATCTATCTTGTGCGTCTCGGATTCATAATGGAACGAAAACTGATTTGGGCGCTTAACCAAAAACATTTTCTTTTTGTTGGGGGTTAATTTTTAGGGTTAGTGATCATCTTATCTGATTCTTTTAATCGATTTGAAAGACGCACTAAATCATTAGGTGTTTCTTTTTGGAGCCAAGTTTCGTACATGTAGATAAGATCTTTGATCACCAATCTTAATATTGCTCATAACTCTATTTTCTCTGTTCTAAACCTTAAAACTAAATTTTTTTTTTTTTTATTGTTGTGTATGTTATTTCATGATTATGCCATAATCTCACTTCAGTGAAGTTTTTGATGGGGTAAGGAGAGGAATCTCTTTGATTTAAAAGAAAGAAATTTGTCAAAAGCTTTAGATGATCCTGTCAATTCTTCACTTTTTGGTGTAGTCTCTTCTTGTTCTTTAATTTCACTTGTCATTGTGTTTCTTTTGTTCAGTGGAAATTATGGTGCTCTACTGTTGTATTAGTCTATGCTATGCTATGGCAGGGTCCGTTCTTTTATGAGATGTCCTCAACAACTGTTATACACTGTAAGCATTTTAAATGATAAGAAAATATAGCTTTTATAAACCTCGAAACTAAGAATTTATTTCAAGATAGATTTCATGCATATATAAAGGAATTTGTAGGCTCTTTGAAAAAAACATATATAGTTTTTTTTTTTAATTATGAACCTTTTTTGAATAAAATGTTAAAATCCTTTACATGACATTCATGATAAAAAAAATTGGTTATGGAAACAAAAATGTTTATAGCTAAAATTATATTATCCCAAAAAAAAAAATATTTTTGAATGTGATTTGGAAAAGAGAAATATTTACAAATCTAAAAAGAAGAATTTCACCCAAAAACAATTACTCCTTTAATCAGAGGATGGTGATGTCAAAAAAATAAAATAAATAGAATCAAACACATACGAGTGTGAAACTTGCAGCCACGTGGAGTTGGTTGGGCTAAAATAAGGTTTAGTCAGTATCCCGAGTATAAGAAATATCAAAACACATTATTTTTTTTTTTAACCAACTTTTATTTTAAAAAAAAAATCATTACAGCTATGACCGAGATACAATTTTTAAAAAGTAAGTAGAAAAAAGAAAAAAAAGTGAAAGGTACATAAAATGAACCAAATACAATCGAATTTTCCGCTTCGATTGACTTTAGTGCTTAGATTAACAAGACAATTAGCTGGGATCGCCTCGGTTTCCACGTCCTCGACCTGTGGATTACCAATTCATCTCCTCAGCCTTTGCTGATGGCTTCACTGGTCTTTCCCGAAGAGTTCTCTTCCCCGAATGAGTCATGAGATCCATCGAATCCGTTTCTTTGTCTGAATCCGATGAGTCTTTTCCTTCTTCCGGAGAAATCAGAGAAGCAAACTTATTAGAACCCAAATCAAGCTCTACTATTCTCATACTTTCCTTCTCGACAGTAGATTTTTCTTGAACATTAGTGGTAATAGTGGAGTATAAAGAACGAGCAGCCTCCAAAAAAGAAGACTCAATGACATTATTGTTGGTAGCTGAAGGAGAGGCTTGATATGCTGTAGGGACAGTCACATTCACAATTGTCGAAGCTGTAGATACCGGAATGATATCTTCTATGATGGAAGCTTTAACTAAATCAACGGTGAGGTTGTTAGTAGCAGGTATCTCAATACTTATGGCAAGAGCTGAGCTAGAGTGGTTTTGAGATCGGGACAGAATTGGAAGCTCCAGCCACGTCCATGTCAACCATCAACACAGTTTCTTTAGTTGTGTTATCAACAACCCTTGGGCCGTTTTCCTCTTGTAAGCAACGCTTAACTTTGTGTCCCAATTGGCCACACCTGCTGCATTTAGAAGGCAACCATGCATATTCCACATCAACCATTGAAATAACTCCATTTATATCATCAGCAGCTGTTCGGGATGGAAAAGCTTTACTCAACTCAACTTCAACCAAGATATTTGCTTTACCCATGAGAATGAGATCCAACCGAGGCTTGTGAATTGCCATAGGAGCACCTAAACCCGAAGCAATATGACTTATTCTCGGGATAGAATATAAAATATTGGGTATTTTCTTTAAGGTTACCCAAACCGGAATGGTTTTAATCTCAGGAATAGCAAGGGAAGCCTCTGGGGTCCAAGAAGCTACAAACATTAGGCAATCATCAACATGCCATAGTGCTCGCTGGAGAACCCAATTCCTAGTGGATTCATCTAGTATATGGAATAAGTAATTTGATTCACCAAGCTTCCTAATGGTTATTCTGCAATTTCTTCCCCATAACTTGTTGAAGACAGCAAATATTAATCCACCTGACGGAGGAGAGCATCTATAGAATTGACCTAGAACATACTCTTTTTGGTTCTCTAATCCTTGTAACAAAACATGTTGAGGAATTATTACCTTAGGAATCTCATCTTCTAGATATTCTGGCTCAGTCGCTCTGTAGAGATTTCTTGTCAAAACACATTATTCCCTCAACGCTCAAGATATCAAACCTCTAAAAAACACTATTCACTAAAAATGTTAAGCAGGCTCTACATTATAGGTATAATTGGAATTGTATGACGTTAAGACAACCCTTAATTAGTTTGTTAGATAACATAAAATGGTACAAGAAAAACCAACAAAAAAAAAGATGACAAAGTAGACGACTACTTAATCTCCAGTAGAAAAAAATAACACTATAGACCACAAGATTCAAAAGTCTTTGATCATTAAGAAAATGTTTTAGAGGGACAGGGAGTAAGACATTAGATTTCAAGTTCAAAATACGACTATGTATTTTGGACGGTGGATATGCTAACCGGCCGGTCTTGAGAGCTATTAAAGGCAGATAAGAGTTAAGGCGAAAGAAAGCTTAGAAATAGGAAGCAAGCAACGTACGGTTGCTTTGGTTTAGATTTGGTTCCGCATCCGGTTTTGTTTAAAAAATCGATAGGAACATGCATTCGACTTATATTGAACTAATAGCGTGAAGATGTATCACTAAATTCTAAAATTGAAAATGATTTGATTTCTTATTAGGCCTACCGTTAGTATAATGGAACATTACGCAACTCTTTAAAAAAAAAGAGAGAAGAAAATTCCAGAGGGAAGATAGTGATTAGGAGATAAGCTGCCTACCACTTCATTTGAATTAAGGAAATAAAAAATTTTGGTCTGCAATGAAGGTTCCCTATTACTTGCACGTATCAACAATCTTAAATAAATCCGATGTGCTCTCCTCTTCTGCTAGACAAATTTCACATGCACCTAAACACATCCCAATTGGTTTCTTTTCTTCTTCTTTTTGTAACAAATCCCCCCCCCCCCCCATCCCAATCACAATTGGTTTCATCGATAAAGTATTTCAAAATTCACTAAAAAAGTATTTAATCATAATTTTCACAATTGGTTGTTAATTAGAAATCCCGTATCTAAGAATTATGTGCGATTCACGGACTAAATAATATATAACCGGCGTGATCTTAATTTCTTTCATTTTATTTTCTAAACGTAATCTTATTTCCGTATGGAATTGTTAATGTTCCATGAACCTTGACGGTAATAGTATTGACGAGCTTTATATACACAAAGATAGCGTCTTAATTTTCGATGTTACATTAACAAGTAAAACTAGATTACCTATACAATAAGCAATTTATTTGATTCGAAGATATATCATAATGTAAGCAAATGTTCAAAAATATAAAGAGATATGTCAGAATGATTTGAATCCTATGAGTTTGGTTGAAAGTTGAAACATACAAATAATGTATAGACAAAAAAAACATCCACAAACATTTGTTACAAATTCACATGAATAAAATTTAAAAAAACATATAAAAGACTTAAAAAAAAACAGAGATTTTTCCACACAAAGACAAACCAAATAAAATAAAAAGAATGAAAAATAAGGTTTTTTTATGTTCCTTTCAGTTTCTTCCTTTCATTTTTGTTACGTACAGAGATGTTTTCATACAACAAGAGAAGCAATCATACCATCTTGGAACAAATCAAGGCTTTGGTGCCTCTGCCACCGGAGCCGGCGTCGTTGTTTCCGGTTCCTTCACCGGAGTTTCAACAACCGCCGGAGCCGGAGCCGGAGCAGCTTCTTCTTCCTTTTTCACTTCTTCCACAGGCTTCTTCTCCTCCTCCTTCTCTACCTCCGGTTTCTTTTCCTCCACGACCGCGGTTGTAACGGTCTCTTCTTTCTTGGGCTTTTCAACAATCTCCTTCTCTTTCTCACCACTTGTTTCTTCGGTTTTGGCTGGTTCTTCGGTTTTGGCTGGCTCTTCCGTTTTGGCTGGTTCTTCGGTTTTGGCTGTCTCCACCGGTACTTCTCGTGTCTTTACCTCCTCAGGAAGGAACACACATACCTTCTCGAATATGAATGTTATTGGTCCTGCGACATAGCCAGCTCCAAAGCTAGATGAAGCGTCTTTCACAGCCGTTGATCCGGGGAATTCTGAATTTACATTTCATTAAACACAAAGATAAGTAAATTCACTACTTTCATCTAATGAAATCTAGGAAGAAGAAAAGTGATCCAATTAATGAAAAAATTTGTTTCTAATAATATGATGAGGCTTGACCTAAGGTTTTCGAATTAGTGAAATATGACGAGACATACGACGACTAGTAGTTCAATATAATAGAAAAATGTAATAATATGTTATCTCAATAATTTATTAAAGATGTTCACAACTATGAGATATACATAACTTAATTAATATATATCTTTGATTCCACGATAAGAAAAAATATGTGATCTAAACTCGAGATATAGATGCGTATATAAGAATATAAGACACGATAGGAATCCAAAGTTTCTGCCAGCAAATATTTGAGGAAAAGTCAATAACTATATATAGAAGACCAAACAGATAAGTTCGTATAAGACAAGCCAATTTGTAGTTGTTTTTTTTTTTTTTTTGAGCAAAAGACAAGCAAATATTGTTGTCGGGGTATTTATAATAGGCACATGACTAAGTGTAATTGAATCGTTACCAATATTGACAAGCGCCTCGAGATACTTCTGCACAGCCGCTGAGTTTTTCTTCAAACCAGCCTCCTTAGGGTCTCTCACCAAAGCCTGCCCATTTTAATTTTAATCTTAATACCAATGTTACATAAAAATATGGATTTGGATAATGATTGAAATAACCATTAAATTAGAGAATTAAAGAAAATGAAGATACTGACCTTGACTTCAGCAGACGTGGCCTCATAGGTTTCCACGACCTTTGGTTGGAGTTCTGTCTTTTTCTCCTCAATCTCCTTGTTGATTGCTTCCTATTATACGTATCATACGTGCCCATTTTAGCAAACACAGAAAATCAATTTTCTTAATAAATAACACTAGTATATAATAACTATATATTGCTTGAGTGGATAATTATTGTAGGACAAAAAAACCGAAGTGCTAAAGTCCAAATGATTCGTGCTTATTGTCAATATTTTTATTTTTTTCAGGAATCAAACAAAAACTATTAAATAAACATCTACTAGCTAGACGCCGAGAAAAACACCTACTATACAGCAAATTAACTTCTATGTTTACATAGTAATATATTTTTATGATCAAATAATGTTGAGTGATGGGATGATAATCACATAATTAACAGATTTTTAAGATTTTTTTTTTCAAGAATGGGATTTGAAAGGTTTATTAAGTTAGGTTAGTAATAATCTTTACCTTAGACTCATCAAAGGTCTTGCAAGCTTCAGCAGCAGCAGCTTTCTTGGTACTATTTTTCTCGAATATCTTCTTGAACTTTGGAACAACCTTCGAATTCCAGTAACCCATCTTTTTGTTATTTAATTTTAATTAACCTTCTCAACTCGAACGATTTCTGTCAAAGAAATAGAAAGAAAATAAATCAATGTTATACACATATTCTTTTGTAACAGACTGAAAACTCAAAACTTATCTAATAATTCGCCCACGTTACTTATCTGTCATGTATGTGTGTAAAGCACATATCTACTGGAGGGAAAAAACAAAAGTACATATCTAATGTTATACAAAACGACAAAAACCAAGAACCCAAAAAAAAAATTGTGTTTGTTGTAACAGTGTTTCTTCAATCAAAAATCTAAACTAATCCTTTTATGGTAATAATACTTTTGAATATTGATGATACACCTTATCTAAACCATGAGACTATAGTAATTACCTTGGAAAAAAAGTTAACGTTGGTTTTACTCAATCATACTTTTTAGATCGAAACCTAAACTAATCAGGCAAAAAGAGTTTCACCATGAAAGACAAACTCCTCAAATTTCTACGTATAACAGCTGAGAACAAAAAATGAATTATGTATATTGTATATAACTACATATTCTGTCTCTATATAAAAATGGTTACTAACTAACTCTAATTCTCTATAAGAAAAATCAGGAAAATATCGAACAAAGCCCTAGCAAGTTCGTGCGTTCGTTGAGATGAACTGAACAATCGTATTTTATCACAGACCTAAAGGATATAAACGAAAACATATTTGTGATTTGATTTGTTTACAATCATGAGTTTGATAAAGAGACTTACTTGAGATGATAAATCTCTTTGGAGATCTTCTTCGTCTCGATCTGTTCTTCTTCTTCTTCTGAAACACAAGAAACTGATTAATTTGTCTCTCTGAATTTAAGAAACCTTTTCGTGTCATATAGATAGGTTTCTCTTCAAACCACCCCTTGTTTTCTTTCCTAATTACGGTTATTGCCCCTCCCTCTTTTCTCGTTTTACCCCTCTTGCCTCGTTGGCGTCAGAACCGTTTCTGTTAATCTGTTCGCGGAGAAATTTCGGTTATTGCCATCTCAGTCAATCAAACAGTAAACCGGGAAAATATAGTTTTTAACATATCATCAATCCATGGTTTAATTGGAGTGGTAAACATAAAACCGGGAAAAACACAATACTTGGCTATAAACTGGTTTTGGTTTCAGTTCGGGCCGGAAAAGGGTCAAAGACAGCAAGTACACAAGTCATAAAATGGAAAAACGGTCAAACAGAAGACAACGAGGAGAAGAAGGGGTAGATACGTAATTTCGGAGGAAAATTTGCCAGCTGGCGGTCACATCAATCAGAGTTGGCAAATATCGAAGTAGGACCCGCACCAATCGGATTGATATTAATTCTTGGATGGTGATCTGTAGGTGTAACACATACGCCTCTTATCTCCATATATTCAACATTTTCATATTATAATGTATGTTATTCTGTTTAACCCATAAAAACGTAGTATATTATTCTGTTTAATTATTTCATTGATGTTATATATGTGATACTTTGAGTTTGAGTTGGATTACGATTACCCTCAAAATCAAAATCTTTAAGAAAAAAAAGATTAGACTTAAAATTTGTTTGATATTATATTGGAATATAATAAGTCGTCTACTATTATTCGGTTAATAAAAAGTTAAGGTGGTATTTGATTCAACTGAACCAAAACCATGTTGAAACCATAATATATCTCTTTATTATTCGAGTGATTGTGTGTTTATACTTATTGTTTTAATAATTTGAAAAATCGCTTGAAGACAATGTCTTTTATGAACCAGACTCTTAATGAATGATATATTTGTTGTAAAACCATGCTTCGACATATATCAATTAATTCGTATCAAACTAAAACGTATTAGATTGGATATTTATATTCTTCTATCAGAACCATGTTGATGACCTAGAAAAAAATTTCTATTTAAAGGGTTTTTTAGGGTGTATTTTTCTATATTTGGACTCTTTTAGATTAATCAAAAGATAAAAGTTGACAAAACAAATCCGAATTCATAGAAGATACATCTTTTTGATGAATGACACCCTTTTCGTAAACCTATAACTAAGTGCTAAGCTCAAACCTTGATCGATATTATTCTTATTCTTTCTTTTAATATATGTAAGCATTGTTACTTGAAATTTTAAATAAACTAAAAATAAATAAACAGAAAATTATTATTTCTTCAAAGGTTCATATTCTTCTAATGAAAGTTTTTATAATTGTAAAACAAAATTTTTGAATCAAATTCGCTTAAAAACTAAAAAAATGAATAAACATAAAAGTGAAAAAACTGATTTGATATTCTAAAACTATGGGGGTTTTATTTTTGTTTCAGGAACCGGATGAACAAATAATCAAACTTACTGATAAAGAAAAGAAAAATAATTCACATGGCCTATCTGTTTGATAGATATTAGGCTGTCTAAAAACCAAAAACTAAAATTAATTAAAATGATTGTAAATAATTAATTTTAGTACAAGACAGACATCCCACCCCCAGTATCTATAACAAGCTATGAAATCTCCAACACAAAGAGAACTTTGTTTACACTCCTAATCCTGATTCAATTAATTTGATTTGAATAAGCAAAAAAAAAAATGAACATCAATGGTTCACGAAATTATATTATTTTCGATGATATTTTATAGTGCTCTACCCATCAAATTACTATTTTTGAATCAGGAAGTGATTCACTAATCTTATAGTTAATTTAATAATATTTGTATAAATTTAAGAAGACCCATTTTTCTTAGTAAGAAACAACGACTATTTTACATGATTTTGTACGTGTTGATGGTTTTAAGAATACAAAATTATGAGGTTTTTGAAATGGTAATATAATGTCGCCAGGATGACAGTATAAATGCACATGGGTTGCCTTCATTATCTGTTGTCTTCGTTGATCGAAACAATGGACAACCATCCATTGTGAAAGATCCTATGATATATCATTTATTTCATCATATTTTTCACATATATCCCACACACATCTATAACACATAGTCACATACATAGACATAAATATACACATATGTGCATGTGTCTAATGTTTTCTTCATCTACATTTACTTATAAATATTTACTCGAGTGTGACAATGTGTCTAAGTTTCTGTTATAATAAACGAGATGTGTGCATATTTCTTGGTTTTAATTACAATTTTTTTTTGATATTTTAAAGAGAATCGTATAACACACTTATGCTAAAGTTAATAAATATTAATTAATATTTATGACTATTTCCTTATTTTTATAATTAAATATATATATATATATATATATATATAAACAACTATGTTTTTTAAAGAAAAATTATTTTCAATTTAAATAGGAAAACAATATTATATATATATATAATGGTGTTGTTTAAAGAAAAAAATATCTCCAATTTAAATAGCAAAACAACATTTTTTAGTGATATATAGAACTAGAAGAATAAGCTATACAATAACATTTATTGTTAAGTCAGAAGAAACTATACTTTTACGTGTAAAACTCTCAATATGCAGAACATATACTTTTTTAAGCCATCAATCGTTAGTTATATACTATATATACTCCAGTAACATCATTCAGACTTGATTAACATCGATCTGTAGATTCGATTGATCTTAATTCTTCTTGAATATATCCATTCCATGAGTCATTCCGAGAATATACCTCATGAATCTTCTTACCTGTCCACGTCGCCCTTCTTTGTGCAATACGATCATCTTTTTGCGCATAGACCGCTTCATGTTTACCTGATGTATCAACTTCAATTCGTCTATCCACATGTTCAACATCTTCATGCTCTTTCACTATTTCTGATTTTAATGATCATACAATATACCATTTGTCTTACTGTGCTTGAGGATATCAATTTTACGTTCGAAGTTTCAAGTAGTGTAAGATTAAGACGAAACATATATTACCCGGTCTAGTGTGTTTTTACATTCTCTTGGAACACTTCTGTTCTGTCCAATTTATCTTTTTTTTTTAATATAAATTTAATTTTTTGTCGTCTGAAATAGTATTTAAGAAATGTTAATTTTATTTAATACTATAATATAAATGATAATATCAATCAAACCGAACAAAATTAATTTCATGGACCATGTGGAATCACGACAAACATCTCTTCCACGAAGAATTCTACAACAAACAATTTTATCAGCACGCCAAGGATCCATAATGGATAGGTTCACCTGCATCACACTCGAGAGAGACTATGTGTGTAACGAACGATTCTATCTGCATCATGTAGAGATTTTATGTAAGTTTGCGTGCAATATTTTGCCTTATTTTGTATTCTTGTGGAGTCAAAATATTAGTAAATTCTTGATCAATCACTGAATCAAGGGGAAATTCACGAATAAAAAATCCGGTTTAAGAACAATAAATGAATCCATACGTTAGTTTTTTTTAAACTCTGTATAAAATGAATTGAGATGGGAAAAACCCAAAGTAGCAAACACAAAGTCCACCAACAGGCGATTCAATTGAAGGCCTTAATTACATTTTGGCCAAACAAAACGAGAGAGAAGATAGCAAGTCCAATAGGACTGCAAAAGGAATAGACTTGCATTAAATAAAGTCTGGCTTTTGCAACCAATATGTGCATGGACTCTATCCATATATTAGCTTATTTCAATGTCAATTGCTATTTTGAGTGGGTTTTTCTAAGAAAATAATTGGGCTACTTTTGCCACCTTTTTTTCATCTTAGCCGAAATATATGTCCAAAATAATAAACAAATATCAAAAATCAAAAATTGGTAATACAATTTTAATATTTTACACAAAAAAACAAACTAGGTATGTGAATAAATGTTATGGTTTAAATTTTTGCATGATTAAATTATGAGATGTTAAACTAAGGATTTTTGAGAAAAATCCCAAAACTTTTTTTTGTAGTTTTAAATATCATCTTCTATTTTTTACTTGTTATATAACAAGAAATATTTACTTCTTCCATAACAATATATATAGATATATATATAGACATATTTATATGTAAATGTTAAGATGATTTAGAAGATTTAATTTGATATGTAAAATATACGTGAGATAATCCTAAATCATTTTTATATTTAAAATACAATTAACTTATATTTTCTAAAAAATAATTAAGATAAATAATAATATTAATATTTACACCCCGTTTAGAAAACACACGTGCTAATTTAGTTGGTCTCTACCTGACCGACCAAAAAGTATGATCCATTTTTATGAATTTCATTGAGAGTGGTTCGTTTGAAAATGGCCAAATGATATCCTCAATATTCATTTTGAAGTTAACATTTGTTTTTGGCAAGCGGGGAAATTTCAAGGTAAAGCCCATATTAATTTCTCTGGTTTTGTTGCCCCCTAAAAATATATACCGGGGAAATTTCAAGGTAAAGCCCATATTAATTTCTCTGGTTTTGTTGCCCCCTAAAAATATATACCGATGTGTTAGGGCATGATTATTGCAGGTACCTGTTAAGGGTACTCGTGAATTTTAGACCCAAAAGAAAAATAAAAAACCAAAAAAACAAGCATCGATTTTTCTTTTAGTACTTCAAGTATCGATACTTGATGGTTGCTTAAGACAGGTGTCCACTTGTGATTGACAGAAAAATGATGGGTTTTTTTTTCCTGAGCTTTTTTTTTCCCTAAGCTTATTTTTTCTCTGAGTTTTTTTTCAAGTACCCCATTTTAAGATTCTTGCAATAAACTTATTTTTGTGTAAAATTCTTATTCAAAGTTTTTATTTTAAATTTAATAATAAATTAATCAGTAAGATCATATCCATTAGTAAACCCTTCTTAGAGGTTCATCAGCTTATAATACTATTTTTTTTTGGTTTTAAGTTTAGAGAAGAACCTGTGGTTTTTTGAGGTTCCATTAGTGAATCCCAAAATGGAGTTCAACATAAATAAATAAAAAATTAGAAAATTTAATTTTAGTAATAAAATTTATTTGTATTTGTAACCAAATTTTGTTTTTTTGTATCTAAAACTCTCGACATATCTTCACACTAAAGTTTCTCTCTTCCTTAAATCACAACATTTTTCTTTCAGCAAAGAGATAACTACAACATTTCCTTGATGAAATCAAAACTAAGTGTGTCCTTGACAATGAGAAACAATCCAAGGAATATCACAAGCATGATACCTGAAGACATTATCCTTTGTTCCACCTCTACAGAAAGCTTCCTTCCTCCTCTAACCGCTTCCAATAATATCAACGCCAAGTCCCACCGATGTCAAAAAGTCTGATACCTTAGGTAATGCGGCATGGTAGAAATGGTTATATACCTGCAGAAACTGAAACAATGGGCATACATACGTTTAGCGACAGTAAGTCATTGTTTATGTGTGTGTTAACAATTGATTTGGTTTAGAAGAGCATTTTTTACAAACCTCTCTGCTTGGAGATTTCAGGTTCGTTGAAATCCTTAGATTAACAGCCTACAAACATAGAAACCTCTTTAGGCTACAATGCACAAACAAAATATGGTAATAAAGGATGATGCTAAAGAATCAAGGGAAGAGAGAAACCTCGAGAGCTTTACAGATATTCTCAAGTTCTGGCCTATAATTCATCTTCTGAGTTGTTGTGACAATCTCAACAACACCCAAACAAGTACCACTACCTCTTTCAAACACAGGAAGGGCTATTTTTTATTTTCATGATATATTCCTTTTGAACTTGCACAAAAACGAATCAGCACGCAGCTAAATAAAAAAAGAGGAAGATACTAACTTGAACCAACTGCAGCGCTGGAGAAACTCATATTGGAAGAACAAGCACTTGGTTGAAGAATATAACAAAAAGAATGATCCTGCAGGGAAACGAATACATCAGTCATTAACACCATATCAGTCATTGAAACTTTGGATCCTGAAAACCATTTCCACGCCTAATCAGAGATAAGCAAAGCATAAACTCATCGAAGAGGAGAACTAAAGCAAACTCAATACTCTCCTTACACCTTAATCAAAGCGCTACTGAATCTAATTGATTTCACCACATCATGAGTTAATTTCTGAAGATCATCTTCTTCTACAAACAAGTATCTAATTATTCGAAATTCAAACCCGTTGGCACAAAGGTCGTCGTAGAGCTTCATGTGAGCATTAGGGAGCTGAGATTGTTGGAGACGACGGCGGCGGAGATCCTCGACTCGCGGCGGAAGGGAGGAGTAGCTGAGCGGGAAAATCATCGGCGATTCGACTCCTAAATCGAGCTTATCTGGAGTTTTATTAGCCGCGGTCAGATCGAAAAATATACAGAGGATGATGAGGAGCGAAGCTCGATCCATGGATGGTGGATTAAGGAGATCACTCGATTTAATTGAAGAACGCCGGTGGCAACGGAGAAGATATGGCGGAGTTAAAACTCCACCGTGGCTCGATCCTTGGATCCTTCGTCGTGGAAGGAACAACGAGAAAATGAGAAGAGAGAGAAAGGGAAAATTGAGAAGAGAGAGAAACGAAAAATCACGCTATTTTTTCGTCCAATTCGCTTCTGCCACGTGGTTCGAATACGAGTTCGTCAGGGTCGATGGGAAGGATCGGTTCATCAGAATTAAGCATTTTTTCTTTTTTTTTAAAATACAATGTACCTATGAACCTGTGCCAAAAACTTGACGACCCCCTTGATGGACCTGCTCTTAAGTACCTCTTAGAAGTGCTTGCAATAAACATGGTCTTAAGAATGATTGACAAAATTAATACATGATATATTACCACTAACATAGAAAAGGTTGATGGTTACCATTTGTTTGATGAATTACGTTTGTAATATACTAATACTAATCCAGAAGACACTAAAAAGGGAGTAAGCGGGCGTCTGATTTTCTAAATCACAACCTACTTACAATACTACTTATACAAGGCATATACAAGTTTGTAACAAACATAACTACAGAGCGTTTGCGAGTCTGCGGCGGATGAACGAATGAAAGAAAACAATGATCCATCGTCTAACCATATATTAACATTAAGGGATTCAGTCAATAAATTATTTGTCACAAATAGCAACAAAGTGGCTAGGATAATTTTGCAGCCACATTCAAAAGAACGCTTACCCTAACAGTGGCGACGAACTGACTACGGATTTTTCACAATTAATGTCATGTCCTATCAGTCATTTGAGTCGCCTATAACTAGTGAAATTATGACGATATATGTTGCCATTAGTCACAACTCGGTCACGAATAGCTACTGTTGTAAAATTGGTGGTCTTACTGAAACGTTTGTTTGGTTCTAGAATAAAGTTCGGGTCAGCCTTATTCGAACTAAAGGCTTCTCAAACAAAACCGTTGCAGTTTGTGGCAAAAATACCTTATATTCGTGCATGCATGACATATATTCCTTTCATTTGTTCATGTCACCGTATATTACGTCCCTTTTTGGTTGTGTGGTCAGAAGTGCATTTGTTTTTATTGGGATGTGGGTGCTAATTTTGTTTTAATTAAAAAACCACGACTTTATGAGCTTTTAGCCCGAGGCTGGTAAGTAACGGTCCATTATCATACAGAAAGTTGATGGGGGCCATTGTGTAATGAATCATGCTTTACTTTACTAATTATATACTAGGAATTAACTTGCCATTGTGTAATGAATCATGCTTTACTTTACTAATTATATACTAGGAATTAATTTGCATATTATGCGGGGTAATATTTTTTTAATTATCTTTAAATTTAATTTAATTTTTTTGTTAAATTAAATTGGTGACAAAAGTTTTACCAAAAAATATAAATAAATAAAATTAGTGACAATTAGATAACAATACCTATATAAATATCACACGACCGATATTTACTTGTATATATTATTATACGGTTTAATTATTAGTAGCTTTTTTAAATATGAAAGTGATATGATATTAATATATATATATATACACTTATATACATACCAACATGGATTAAAATCTAATATATATATATATATTCATAAAATAAAAATTTAATTGTGAATATTTTATTAAAGATCAAACTATCATTTTTAGTGAATAACTTATATAATATGTGTTAACAATGATTATATATAGGATTGTCAAAATGGAAAAACCCGTCTACTTAATATATTTTCACAATTTACTAAACTATTTTTTGGCCAACCCGTTAAAAAAAATATAATTTAAATTTTGAAAACATAATTTCATTTTTTATATAAATAATTGAACTGATTTTCGAAAACGATACTAAATAATAATGAAAATACAAATGAAAAATATTGCAAAAGTTTAAATTTATTTTTTTCATATATATGGATTAATTATTATTAAAAATAATAGAATATATTTTAATATTTTAATAAGTAAAGAAACTAAATATACTTTTGATTTATATCCATATATTTAATTGAGCTTTTTATATTTATAAAGTTTGTTTAAGTAATATCTTCTAAGTAAAGGTTTATTTATGTAATATCTTATAAATAAATATTTATTTATGTAAAATATTCTGTAATATCTTATAAATAAAAGTTTATTTATGAAATGTTTACTCAAATAATAATATAGAGATAATAATATAGAGATATTGAGTCCAGGCAGTGAGCGGCTTATTATATAGTGGTTTCTATTTTCCAATGGTTAAAGAACATAGTACGTACTAACAACTAAATTGCTGACAAATAAATAATGATTTTAATTATTATGTGATATTACCATTATCATGCAAAAGGTTCATGGTTAATAGGGCTGGAACGGAGCTGGATATCCGGACTTTTCAAAGTATCCGGATTCGGCTCCGGATTTGACGGATAATCAATTTTATTATCCGGATCCGGATCCGAAAACTCCGGATATCCGGAGACCGAATATCCGGTTTGAACCGAAGATTTACGGATATCCGACCGGATATCCGGTTTCGTTGATTTAAAAAAAAAACTTCAATTTTTAAAATTATAATGAGATAACATATATAATTAAAATGTATCATTATAGCAAAAATTACAAATACCAAAAATTTAAAAGCATTCAAGTAACATTCAAATAGCACAAAGTTTAAAAGTTTACATAGCAAAAGAGAAAATAGTAATAGAAGTTAATTTATCTTCATATCCTTGTGTTAACTATTTTCATGGTATTCTCTCACAATCTGAAATAGAAAATTATCATGCAATATCAATTTCAATCATGTGTAAAAGAGTTAAACCAAAAACAATTTTCAAACATAATTAAAACAAAAAATTAAATGCATATCCAAAGATTTCAAAATTTTCAAAATCTTAATAAACGGATAACGGATAACGGATATCCGATTTTAAAATTTTCTATTATCCGGATCCGTATCCGAAATAACCGAATACTTAATTTAACTATCCGGATCCGGATCCGAACTACACGAATATCCAGTTTTTACGGATCGGATAGGACCGGATACCGGATCGGATAGGACCGGATACCGGATCGGATAGTGGATACCAAATAATAATTCCAGCCCTAATGGTTACCACTTATAACATGATATATAATCAATAAATGGGATGTGGGTGCTATGCGACGTACCTAATTCACAGACATTGTAAGTGAGCGGTTTAAGGTTTCTATAGAGAGTGGTTAATAGTGAAAAGAAAATAGTACTAACATAAAATGCTAATGATTTTCTTTTTGCACATGAATATATAATAGAAAATTAGTGATATATATATCGACATATATGAATTAGCAAAACTATTAAAGTTTTATTCATATACATACATATAATATGATATCTAATCAATAATGGGATGTGGGTGCTATGTGACATACCTAATTCATATACATACAATTTTATTTTATTTTTAACTTTTAAAATTGTTTTACATATCTATCTATATATTTATTTATTTGCTTATGTGTCGACTCCACAACGAATTTCAGAATATTTTGCTTACGTGTCAGTTCTATAATGAATTTCAGCTGCAAAACTATTTTTTAACTCTATTTTTTTATTATATGTTATTTTTTTTTATATACGTGAGAATTTTTTTCTTAAAAACAAAACCACGCAGGTGAACCAGAATACCGTGCCTATAAATTTGATGATAAAAATGGATTCCATTCCATATCAATGTTAGTGAACATGGAATCCATAGCAGTTTTGGAACATGGATCTCAACTCTTTGTTCCTTCTCCTAACAACATGTTTGTTTCAGTAGGCAAACTCTCTTGCTTTCCGCTGACGTCACTTCCAACTAAGCCTCGAAAGTTTGTTCGTTTGAAGGCAACTAATACCCTGACTTGTGATGATCAAGAGAGCCTTCGCACGTTCAAGAAATTGCTACCTTCTCCATGGACTGATCACTTCCACTCTGTTTCTGTCGATGTCTCGGTAAGTCCATATTTATATAGCTGGTGTATTATATATATATTAGAGAAGGTTAACGCATGTGTACATGTTTTACTTTTAGGAAATGGATGCGCTTAGGAAAGAAATCGATGTACTAAAGCCGAAAGTGAAGAACAAACTCATGTCTTCCCATGGGATCGACTCGACCAAGAAGAGAATCCTTATGATATATTTGTTGGTGAGCCTTGGTGTTGCACATCACTTTGAGGACGAGATCGATGAGACTCTAAAAGAAGGTTTTGAAAAGATGGAGGAGATGATGGATGATGAAGATGATTTGTACACAGTTTCCATCATGTTCTGGGTTATCAGGACATACAATCACTACATATCTTCCAGTAAGTGATCATAATTCACGTTTGTAAAAGTTTATGTTATCTCTAATTTATCTGTATAACAAGTCGGTCCGTTTTGGTCAATAGATATCTTTACAAGATTCAAAGGAGACAACGGAAACTTCAAAGAATCGCTTAAAGGGGATGCCAAGGGCATCTTGAGCTTGTATGAAGCTGCGCACTTGCGGACAACGAAGGATTGTATACTGGACGAAGCATTGAGCTTTGCATCAAACCATTTGGAGTCATTAGCTGCAAGTGGGACGTGCCCGCCTCATCTCTCTATGCGTATACAAAATGCTCTCACTCTATCTCAGCGTTGGAACATGGAGATGGTAGCCGCTCTGGAATATATAACTTCCTACGAACAAGAAAAAGATCATGACGGAATGCTACTGAAGTTTGCTAAGCTCAGTTTCAAGTTAGTCCAGCTCCAGTACCTTCAAGATCTTAAAATCATTACAAAGTACGTAATCTCCTTATTTACTAGTATTTCTAGGGTTTCACTTACAATCCTTCTAAGGAAGTTATTCCAACCACGTACATTTCCTTTTTTTCGACAAGAACTAATTATCTTAACTTGAAGAAACATATTCAGAATGCAATTTTTGGGTTAATCAAAAATTAAAGGTGGTTAAACACTTTCTAAAAAAGAAAATATTATTTGGTGACGCTTTCTTAGCTAACATATCTATATCTTTGGGTCCAAAGATGGTACAAGGAGCAAGAGTTTGCATCTAAGTTCCCACCTTACTTCAGAGACAGAATCGTGGAAAATTATTTCTTTGTGCTAGCGGTGTTCTTCCAGCCACAACTTTCACGTGCAAGGATTATGTGTACTCAGCTCTTTACCATTTTGGAGATTATAGACGACACATTCGACAGATATGCTTCTCTTCCTGAGGCTAAAAGCCTCGCAAAATGCCTGGAAAGGTACACTCTATATGTATTGAAATTCCACATAAACAGTAATCATGATGGTGATAATTAACCACCATGATGATGAGTAATTATGATGATGATGTACAGGTGGGCTCCCGATCATGCCATGGATAAACAACCTGATTATCTGAAATTAATGTTGAACTTTATATTGGATACTTTCGAAGGTTTTGAAAGAGAGCTTAGGGCAGAAGGAGAAACTGACAGTGTGAAAGCCACTATAGAAGAGGTAACCTATTAAATTCTTATATTGTAAGTATGATAAGTTAAGGGTAATGTATAGCTTTGGAATATTTATTAAATGAAATGAGCTCTCTGGATTGATAGTTTTTTAAGTGAAAAAAATCATGGGCATTTCACTATTTCAAAATGATTTTGAAAACCAACATTTTGTAGTCGTAACGGTTTCAGATTTTTTGAGCTTGCAGTTCAAGATACTAGTAAAATCCGAATATATTTTTGCAAAATGGGCACACGCGGTTCACGTGCCTAGCTTTGAGGAGTACATGGAGGTTGGTACGGTGGAGAACGCGTCGCATGCGGCTTTAGCATGTTATATAATGTGTCTAGGAAAGATGGCTACGAAGGAAGATTACGAGTGGCTAAAATCCAGACCAACACTCGCCATGTCTTTATCCATCAAATTGCGTCTTGTGAATGACATAACCGGTTTCGAGGTAAGAATATGGATAATTTATATCTCCACAACTCGGATATATGCTTTGTTCTATCTTACAAAATTACACAAACATAATTGATTACATTTGTTTTTTTGATAAAAATTGTTTGACTAGGATGACATGGGTAGGGGATATGTCATGAATGCGGTCAACTGTTATATGAAGCAATATGGAGTTACGAAACAAGAAGCTGTTAGGGATCTTCTTAAAATGGTTGCAGATGCGGATAAGGCAATCAATGAAGAATTCTTGACGACGGTTAATGTGTCACGTTTGTTTCTCAACGCAGCAAAGGGTTATGCAAAAATGATCAGCATCTGCTACAATGGATATGAAGGATTCACCCATCCCGAAGTAAAAATTAACGAGTATATGACTTCGTTGCTTGTCGATCAGATCCGTCTTTGAAGACTGACTTCAGAACATGTTTAAGCCTGTAGCGCCATGTCTTTGGTTTCTTCGGTCTACCGTCTACTTAGACCGAACGTCCTTAGAATCAACAAGAAGCTTTTAATATATGTTTTTGTGTGTTTGAATAAGTAAAAAATGCTATACAAATGTTACCAGATTCAACCTTAACAAACAAACAAAAAAGAAACCGGTAACGGTTCAAATCCCTTGCTAATCAAATTTGGTCTTGTTTCTCACCGTCCGTCTATTTTGAGAGGTAATATATAAGCAACTAAAATATATAAGCTGAAGATAATTGTCCTCATGATTAGTGCCTTTGTTCCTTATCTTAATGACTTATGATGCAAGTAACCACTCTCCAAACAGTTTGCTAACATTAGAACTAGGTAGGTCGTGCAGGCAAATCTATCTGTTTGATCCTGTCTTAATATTTGGCATGGTTTCATGTCAACGATATTGGAATATTTTAACCGATATATTTTTTCCTTTTTAGAGAAGATGGAGTCAACAACACTTTGGGTTATATTATATTATATTATACGTGCGAGTCATGACTAAACTAGTCACCGACGTGCAACCCATCCTGCTCCGTATTTAAGTATCAATCAATCTGTTTTAGCCTTTTGGCCAATATTGTCTTTTTCAAATTCATCCTCTCAGGCCAAACGATCATAAGAAAAATGGCGGCAGAGGTTCTCAGCTTCAGGGACGATAGTAGCCAAGAGGATTGGCATGACTTCGAGGTTCTGGGCCGAGGAGACGAGCCCAAGATTCTGATCAAGAAGACGAGTATGCAATCCGAATCCGAGAGACAAATCTCGGTTGATCCGAAATCGCTATTGTCAAGATCAAACTCGAGCTTCGACATGATAATCTCACGTCCGAGAGACATCAACGACGACATGGTATTGTCCCCTCAGCCGTTGGATCATCAAATGACGAAGACCAAGTTTATGAGCTGTAGCCTCCCAAACTCAGCAGCCACGTCACCAAGACATAGCTCTTCGAGTCGTAATTGGAAAGACAGAACCACGGAGCAAGTTCTTGACCTAATGCTCGTTCAAGACGCTGCCGCTGCGTTTCGAAGAAGCAAATCTTGCGGCGAAGGACGTGCTTTCACGCCTTCTCTCGATTTCGACATGCTATTGCACAAATCAAGTCAAACACATCATCATAATCATAATCATCATCATCATCATCATCATCATCATCAGCATGGATTCTCTTCTTCTTCAAACGCCAAGAGTCTATCTAACAAGAGTAGTGGAAACAACTCTTTCTTCTCAAAAACAGAGTCTAGCAAAAGCAACAGAAGCAATATCAATACAGCGAACTCGAAAAGCATAAGTTCATTCGAAGACGGATTCAAATGCAGCGCCTTGTGTCTATACTTACCAGGTTTCGGCAAAGGAAAACCAGTGAGATCATCTCGCAAAGGAGATTCCTCGTTCACTAGAACCACGACAATGACTTCTACACAATCTATGGCAAGAACCGTTTCCATTAGAGACACTACGGTGCTCTCGGCTCGAGCGTCGCTAGAGCGGTTCGAGTGTGGTTCTTGGACCTCCTCGGCTATGATTTACGACGACAATGCGGATCTTGGTGGTCATTTTTTCGATTTGCCATCGGAATTGATCAAAGGTGGTCAAGGAGGGAACGATCAAGATGATCCTGTTTCAGCTGCTTTCGTGTTCGACAAGGAACCTAATTTGGAGAAAGAAATCAAAGGGGTTTTGAAGACTTCTGGTTCGAAATCAAGAAGATCTATGGAGTCGCCACGTCACGTTCGGTTCTCAACTTCGTCGCCGGTTTCTTATCCGACGTCTCCGACTCATTCAATCACGCCGCGTTTGTTACAAGCCACCGAAGATTTCAGTAGTTTCTTGGAAGCTCAAGCCGTGTGAATAATTAATTAATGGGTGGGTTTAGCTATTCTTTTTTTTCTTTTTTTTAAACGAATGAAATTAACTAATTTTTTTTACATTTTCTTGCTGAAATTAGCAATTCCCATTCCAAAGTATTAAAAAATTTCCATTGTATAGAAACGAATACACAAGAGGAAATTAAAAGTGAATTGAATAACCTTTAACAAAAAAAAAAAGTGAAAGGATCTTAATTATTTTACTCTTATTTATCTATGGGATGGAAACCTGCAATTTCCAATATTATTCTTTAAGCCATGAACAGCACAAAGACAGACAAGTGGTTATGACTTATGACTTATGACATCCTGCTGGATTTTTAGGATTGAAAAATTTGATAAAAAAAATACGACTTGACATTAGATAAATTCATTTAATTTTTAATTAATGGAGTATGTAATAAATTTTGTACCGTTTATATAATTTTTAGAAACAAACATATATTACGTTTGATTTACAGTTTTTGAATAAAATTTTTGCAACATTGGGTTGCATCACTTTAACCGTAAAGACCACATCAACCACATTTAATTTGCAGTGACTGAAATAGTCTAAAATAGACAGCATTTCTTCAACAAACCTCCGTAACCATTCCAAATCTTATCTTATATGAACCGACAGCAAAATTGCTATGTAAGATGTACTGAACACTTTATGGGGTTGAATCTTAGAGGAACCTTTTTTTCACATCAAGGAACCTTTTTTTATTGGAGTAAATAAACTCTGTGTTATCAGAGAATATTGCAGCTACAGAGATCATGCAGCCTCGGCCACTTTGTATTAATAATCTCGGTCAATATTAAATGTATAGCAAACAGACCATCAAACATTAAATTGGACCAATGTTTTGACGTGATACATGGCATACATATATATGCACACGTATACAGTGTACATTGTATTCATAACCCGTACGTTACCATCAATAGTTACTACATTTTGTTTCAGGGAAAAAAAAAACAGAAATGTTTTGAAAATATTGATGTAGAAATCAGGAAATGGTAGGGTTCTTGAATGTGATATAATTAGCTTACATGATGCTTTTGTGACCGTACCGTCGGTGAGCATCCTTAATCCATCAAATCCTAAAATCCTGTAATATTTGTTGGTGTTTTCTATATATATATATATATATATATATGGTTAAGTTTGAACTCGCATCTAAATTTATTTCATCAACGTTTCCATGGTTCCAAACACCAAAAGTCAAATTTTATATATTTAGTAATCAATATTAGCCTTTTGCATGTCATGATGGAAATACATATATCTACCTAACAAGTAACAATTAAAATTAAACAAAAGCAATGACGATGTAAATCTATTTCAAAGTGAATCGTTAAGAAAATGATTGTGTAGGTCCAGACGTAAATCTCTGTGATTTTTTTTTTACACCGCATATATAAGCAAAAGAAGAAAAAAAAAACAAAATTAATTTAGGAAAATATATAGTCATATGGTAATGGAACACTTGTAATCTAGTGCAACCAACGACCACTTTCTAGCCTACTTGCGAGATTTAACAACCACGAAACGATGGGTCCCATATGTTCCTTCTACGTAGGACCTACACGTTTAGGCCCATTCGGTGGTCGTCAAGAAAAGGCGTAAACGCACGTTCCTGACCTCCAAAAAAGCAAAAGCTATCTTCTTTTGTCGTTAATTAATACAAGTATACAACAAACTAGATTAAACCAAAAATATTAATTACCGCAATTATTCCCACTAGTTTATATACTTTAAAAGAGACCTTAAATCTCTAATCCATACAGAATATATGCCAATAGTTTATGAACCCATACCCAAACGATGATACAAATAAAAGAATACCCCAAAAGACAAACAATAAAGTAAAAACACCTGCCCCAATATTTGATAACTTCTAATTTCTTTCTAAAAGAGGAAATACATTCACTATCTTCATTTCTTCCTATATACTAGTCTCATTGCCGAGTCCGAAGCAGCCGGTCACCGATCGTTCTCATCTCGAACGTCTTCACGGCGAGGCCAACGTCGCGGATCGTAGTGTCGAGCACGTAAGGATTGTTCTCGAAAACAACTCTAGAATCATTGAAAAGGTTACGGCAAGGCTCACGTCGCTGAGATATCGAGCCGTGGTAATGGAAGTAACGGATTTTGCTCTCGGCCTTGTGGTATGTTTTCCCTTGCAGGTTCTGAGACATGTGGACTCCCGTCGCGAATACATTACTCGGCTGGACCGCGTACTTACGGTCTCGTCTTGGAACTTTCTTGACGTCTCTATATGCCAGTTTCTCAAATCCCCATTTCCTGGTCAACATTAAAGGAGAAAGCATTTTAGAGATCAAATCAGTCTCAGTCCCTGACATATAGAGGCTTAGCCAAAAGAACATACCAAACTATAATTTGAGGAATCCTAAGCACGTATTAAAATTGACATTTTTATAATTTGAGGAATCAGAATTTAGAATAATTGAAACATTTATCACACACTCAAATCATGTGATGTGAAAGAGAAGCAAAGATCTGGACCGACATGGGAGACTAATACGGAATGCGCAAAGACTTTTGCAGGCCAAGTGTTGACAGAATCAGATGCTTTGTTGTTGTATATTATTATATATTCCAAAAAAGCCAATCAAGAAACTTGTGATTATATTCTAAGTTACTCAACACATGGGTTTTGGTTAAAGTTCAATCATTAAAAATTCGACAAAGTCACGAGGGAAAAGAAAAAATAAACCAGATTAACAACCTAACCACGGTTTCTTGTTAGCAATAATCTAATTAATTCACGGACACATTAATTAACCTTAAATATTACGAGATTAAGGTTCTTACCTGTATGTTCTTGCCGGACCATCACCGGAGTAACAGAGCTTGCTACTCATAGGCATCTGCTCAATAGTAAACTGAGAATATTCCTCCAAAGATTCCATAACCGACGAGATCGAGTTATTGGCCGGAACATAGATAAACTCATCGACGTCGAAGAAGAAAATCCACTTGGCCGAGAATCTATACCTATGCAAGCAATCATTCACAACCATGAACTGATTATGATAATACCCATCGAACCTCTCCTGGTCTCTGATATCGTGCACCGTCACGTGCCCGAGCTCAATCCACGGCCGTAAAACCTCGAACACTTCCTCGTGAATCCCTCCGGCGTCGTGAAGCACGAAATGCGACCGTTCGCCGAAGAATCTCACGTGGTAAGCGATCCACTCTCTCACTCTCTGAGGACTCAAGTTTCCGTACAGAGACGAGCCGCAATAGAGGTAATCGTACTTTTTGCGACGAGATTTGGAGCTGTAGAGCTCGAAATCGACGGAGTTTGGGGATTCCGACAGGACCGGGATCGAGTCGGTGAGGTTTCGGTCTGGATCTCCGGTGGTTGCGTGGAGGATGAGGTTTCCGCCGGAGTTTTCGGGGTTAACGGCGGAGATTGAAGAGAAAGTGCAGTTGACGACGACGGTGGTGTAGATCCGTCCGTATCCCCAATCGGTTAGGATTTTAAACCCGTCTGTGGAAATCGGGTCGTGAGTCGGGTCGAGAGGGACCCACTCGCATCGGTACGAAGGATGGCCGTACACGTGGAGGGGTTTCGACGATAGGCCGATGACGGCGAAAGAGTTAACGCCGCCTCTGTAAGCGCTCATCGAGACGAAGTTGTAAGCTGCAGAGCCGTAGCCAGTAAACGACCGTTTGATAACGCCGTTATCCAAAACTCGATCTGTTTCCGTCGTGTTTTCCGGTGACTGTTCCACGGCGGTGGATGTAGTGGTGTTGACGGGAACGGCGGCGGAGGAGGAGAAGCGTGAGATGCAGAAGCGGAAATCGGAGGCGGAGAGAGAGAATGAAGAAGGTATGAAAGGTAAGAGAGTGGCTAAAGTGAAGATAACGAGTAACGCCATGAAAATGAGCTTGAGCTCGGTGGAGAAGTTCCATATGACGCCGACGAGGAGCTTCTTCTCCTTAACAGGGATTTGCTCTTTCTCTTTAGTGACCATGGCGGTTGAATCTTCTCTTCTTCAGTGCTGGATCTGAGTCTCTCGAATCAGAGAAGAGGATGAAAAAAAAGGAAGAAGAAGAAGGTGATAGATTCTTTCTCCCAATGTCTCTCTCTCTATCAACGAGTCGGCGAGTCGAGTCGCTTTCTAATTCTACACCTGTTCTTGTTTGTCTTGTTACCTGCGGCTGCGTTTATATTTTAATGTTTTTTAAAAACAAATTCGGGAATATGTAAATTTCTTTGATATTTCCCGAATTTGCTATTTTTTATTTTAGGAAGGGGTGTTAATTTCCTTTTCCAATCTTCGTATTTTTGTAACAGAGAAGGGCTAATGAAAACAACTTATGAACATCACTACTAAAATAAAATTAGACAAAACACTGAATCTATCATTAGAGCAGCAAAACATTCCTATGCAGAGACAGTTTTTTAGCAGTTAGTTTTTATATTTATTTTTTTCGTTTAGCAAAGCGTCTCTTTTTAAATCAGATTTCTCCGTTTAGCTCGATCGAATTATTTTTATATATAATAGTATAGAGATCTATATATATTTAGAAGGTTTTTTTACTACATTATTTGTATTTCCAATAAAGACATTTGTAATCTCTGCGAATGATCCTATTTCTTATTTCTGTATTACTTTGACTTGCAGACGTCACAAAGGAAACCGTATAGTGAAGGGAAGGGAAGGTCAAAAAAAGGATATTGAGAATGTGTTTCGTAATAATTATTTTTTCTTCTATTGGTCAGAAGAAAAGAAAAAAAAAGGAAAGACAGATTGAACAATTATGCTACTATTGGATTGAGTACAAATTAAAAAGATAAATGACTACCAACTATAGATTCCCATGTGTTGTATTATATAACTGTGAAATCAAAATCAAAATGGTTCATGATAATTAATAATGCGTCTGGAAACAATTACTACTATTGCTTAACATTGGACATGTGCTAAACGCCAAAGTCATAATTTTCTATTTTCAACTGCCAAAATCATCGATTAACAACAAAAGTATTTTATATCCAACAAACAATACAAAATGCTACTGGTATACTGTATACAGCATTCTCAAATGAGTTGTATCGTTTTTGTCGTTTTAAATTACCACTATTTTATAGTTTTGGTTTTACCGGTTGGAGTTTCTTAATCCCTAATTTTTTTTTGAAGAAATAGTTCGAACTTTTGAAGGTGATAGAAATTTCGTACAAGAAAAATGAATTACGACGACTTTGTCTTACCATATAGTGTATTTTGTAAAGTTTGCAGTATCGCCGTTTCGTTATAGGATTCCAACATCTGTGGGAGACGTGGCGCTCTTTCCAGAACCCACCTGTCCGTTTCGCCAACGTGTCTTTATTGCTTGGCTTCCCTCCAACGTTTCCAATTGCCTTTTCCTTCATTTTCCTTTATTGTTTTTTTTAACATCTGATTTTTTGGCTTCTCGTTCATTTATTTTAACCGGAAAAGAGAGAAAAAAAAAAAGAACTTTCCGAAGCTCAGAAAACGGTCAACAATAATTTTGTTTAATTTTTCAGCAACAATAATTTTCTTACATCCCCAAAGACAACTTGTTTTTTTTTTTTAATATTTCCAAAGACAACGAATTTTTTTTTTTAATATCTCCAAAGACAACGAGTTTTTTTTTTAATATCTCCAAAAACTCATTACTATTCTCTTTCATTTACTCTTAGTTTTTGTTCAATAAGTTGATTCCATCCATATTCATATCAATATCGGTTTAACATTCTTAATAACATTCATTAATTATATATATATATATATATTAGTTTTTTTTATATTTTTTTGATAATCAATTAGCTTTCAAAATTTCTTATATACTATTTATTTTGGCTATGGTGAAATTAAGTATTGTTACAATTTTAAAAAAATTTAAACATAAATTGTTCATGTGCATCCTGTAAATTGCAAGGACAAGTGAAACTCCAGCTCGGATCCGTGTTGATGCCTTGCGCTTCCAGATGACATATCACTCCTAATTTCTAACATGTCTTCCATTAATATCTCTTATATCATAATTAAGAGTCCTCATATCCTACTATTTTTAGTCTAAAGTATAAAATTGGGTTTAAGATAATCTGCACGATATCTAATCTTTCATTTACTACCTAACTCATTAGAGATTTATTTTTAACAACCTAATATGACCAGTTGATGCGTACTGGTTAAATTGGCCTAAAAAATTATAAAGAAGAAACTACCTTTGAGTTTTATATTTTAAATTATGGCCGTGTGCAATGCAAAGTATTGGCGAATTATTCCACGCACAAGCCATATGATGAATAAGTGTTGGAACTATTTTGTAACAACCTCAATATGGCAAACACATGAAGGCAACAAAAAGGGTGTTTATTTGTAAGTATATTCAGATGTGTCAGAGTCACATTCCAAATCAATGGAGAAGTTATAATATTTGTTTGGGTTCATGAATCCTAAGAATCAAGAAAAGCTCTCACAACGTCGACGATTGGAGCCATACAAATCGGACATTTCTTACTGCTCCATTGCAATTCATGAGCACATTTCAGACACGTGCACATATGTCCGCACCTGCAGAGACAATCAAGACCGCTGGTTACTATTTTAGCGTTTGCGATTTGAAATCCAGATCTAGCAAACGCACTTACCTATAAAGGAGCGAGTCAACAGGCATCTCTAAGCAAACGCAACACTTTCGTTTCAGTGGATCTTTCTTTGTATCTACTCGTTGTTCTCCGGATGACCCTAAAAGATTATTCATTAGCTTTGATTTCTTGAAATGAAATTTTTTATAACGTTAATGTGATGATAATAAAACTAACCAGAACGAGAAAGATCTTGCGTTACAGATTTCTGGAAATGAAGTTGCATATCAACGCAGGATTTAACCGTATTTCGTAGCTCGAGCATTTCTCGTTGAAGCTTCTCCATTTGTACCTTGAGATCACTGATCATCTGCATTTCCTGTGTCTGTTAAGTGTAAGATCTTAGTTTACTTCACCAACACGTAACCTAACTTGTCCGGGAAAATAAGAGCAAGAACAATATTGCCTAAACTCACAGATTGATCTGTCTGGACTGAAGGTTCAGGAAGAGACAAAGACGTTGTCGGTTCGTAATCCTTGTCGATGTCTTGGTCCCTGAAACTCCACGACATCAACAACGTACTACTTCTTGCTGATGATTGGCTGCAACCGTCACTAGCAGCCTCAAGATTTGTCTTCTCTGGTTCTTCCTCTGTTTCCTTATCTTCTTGGTTCCTTGCTGAACACTCTTCAACCCACTCTTCTTCTTCTTCTTCTTCATCGTCATCATCATCATCATATTCCTGTTTTTGATTGATTGGTACGCCTAAATGGCTTTGCACACGAGTAATCATCAAATTGTCGATCTTTTGTCGCAAATCACTCGTCAAAAAGTTGGAAACTGTTCGGCTGCGCAGCGATAAGCAAATAACATTACAATCTCAATTAGTTAAGGTGAATATCTTTTAGAGGATTTTGATGAGTGATCATAGATATATACCTCTCAATGAGATTGCAAATATCTTTCTTCTCTGATTCAGTGTTGAGAACCTCAAGATACCTTTCTTTCCTTAATTCTTCCCAGTAACTTCTAGGCCGCGATATATCGTTAATCCAGTCATATGAATTCTCTCCATTGTAATGATCATAATCTCCATATTCTTCTTCTTCTAGGTCTTCCATTTCATCTTCATCCCAATCATTTACAAACTCCATTGCTGTTTCTTCCACTTTGTGTTCTTCCTTCTTGGTTTCTTCATCCTCTAAGTCTTTAGTGCCGTTTCCGTCATTTGAATTTGGCAGAATCGACATTTCTTCATCCTGCTGTAAGGAATTCTTATCTGTAGTCCTCTCTCTAGAGGCGTCACTTGCAGATTCTTCTTCTGTTCTAGTAGACTTAGCTTCTGGTTTTCGCAGAATCGACATTTCTCCACTGTGTTGTGAAGAGTCAATCTCTTTAGCTCTCTCTCGGGAGATGTGACTCACAGTTTCTTCTGCTGGTAAAACGTCTTGAGGATTCACGCATTTCACCTCAACAATATCTTTTTGGGACTTAGCTTCTACAGAACCAAAATCTTCCTCTTTCTTTCTTCTTTCTTTCTCTTCAGTCTCACACTGCGTAGAGAGTTCTCTACTACTACTCTGTTTTGTATCCATCATTTCATTGTTTTCAACTACTTTCTCCACTGTTTCCTTTGAAGTAGTTATGCTTCTCTCTGCTGTTTCGACATTAGTAATTCTTCTTGAAGCTTCTTGCAACACTTGATTTGTCTCTGTATTAGCTTTGCCTTCGGTTTTACCTTTTCCTTTCTCCATGAATCTTCTCCTATTCTTTTTCTCCTTGGAGTTCCACAGATTCACCTTCTCAGCTATTCCCATCAAAGTGTTTTCTTCTACGCTTTCCTCAACTTCTCGCTTCTCCCCTCTTCCTTCTCTACTTTCCTTCTCAACAGGTTTCTTTAAACCATTCTTACTGTCTGAAGTTTTACTCAAGTCACTCTTCACGGTTGTTTCCTGCAAAACCTTTTCCTCTGTAGCCGGTTTACGCAAAAAATTATCTGATTTTGAAGTAACTTCTTGAGGACTTCTGTTTCTAACCTCAATCTCTTTGGACTTTGTTTCTACAGAAACACAATCTTCCTTGTTCTTTCCTCTTACTACTTTCTCTCCAAACTCACATCGTGGCGTCATCATTTCCTTTGAAGTAATAATGCTTCTTTCCGCACTTTCGACATCACTGATTCTTCTTGAAGCTTCTTCCAAAATATCCTTCTCAACTCTCACTATATTAGCTTTGCTTTCAGCTTTACCTTTCTCCATCCCTCTTCCCATATTCATTTTCTCCTCTGAGTTCCATAGATTCACCTTCTCAGCTATTCCAACCAAAGCATTCCCTTTTATACTTTCTTTAGGAATAGCTTTCTCCTTCATCTCTTGCTTCTCGCCTCTCCCTTTTGTAGTTTCTTTCTGAATGGTTTCTCCTGCAGAATTCCTTAAACTACTCTTATTCTCTGGACTTTCACTTAAAACAGCTTTCCTTGTAGTTTCCTTCGCGATAGCTTTCTCCTTCGTTTCTCGCTTTTCGCAGCTACCTTGTGCAGTTTCCTTCTGAACAGTTTCTCCTGCAGATTTCCTTAAACCGCTCTTATTCTCTGCATTTTCACTCGAAACAGCTTTCTTGGCGATTTCAACCACAGAATCGCTCTTCTCTATAGCTTCCTTCTTCTCTGTAGCCTTACGAGGATCTTTATCCAAAAGCCGACCCCGAGAAGACACAGAACTAGACGAAGCTCCAGTCTCAGCATTGTCAGAGTTTGTCTTATATTTCTCCCTGCATTTCATTTCATTTCATTACTTTAGCTTCACTAATATCTCCCCAAAAACTGCTAGTAGAAAACATCAAATTTACCTGAGAAGATGCATCACACCAGACCCTCTTGGCGACCGGTTTAAATCAGATCCTGATGATGATGGTCTAGACCGATTTCTATCTTGAATCGCAATGCACCTTTCGTAACATCGAATCCTAAGCGTCGACTACAACAAAACACAAAGCAATAACATTTTTTTAGACCTAACAAACCCTAAAACCTGTCTAGATTAGAGATCAAGAAGCAATTATATATACCTGAATCCGCCCGCGATGCGTGAACTTCGAAACACTATGTCGTTCTGATAAACAAGCCAGTTCCTTTTCTCGATCGCGCGTCATCTGAACCAATAGTTCTGCAAATGCTTGTCTCCCTCTAATCCTTGGGGAACAAGCAACTTGAGGAAAACATCTCGCTTCTGTTGTCTGAGCTTCTTTAGCATTGTCGTTGCTGCTGCTTCCATTGTCGTTATTCGCCATTGTTTCTGAGTCGGTGCTTAGTTTCCGGATAATATCCATAACTCTTACCCCTTCTCTTTCTTTCTCTCCAGAATCTGGAGGTGGAGGAACAATTTGTGAATCACATTCCATCTCTTCTTCTTCTTCTTCCTCTTCATTGTTACCTTCCTCGATGGTTTGAATCAATTCGGATTCCTCGTTGAGAGACTCCGAATTCTCTAAAACGTTTGATCCTGAAGAACTCGTTCTGCTATCGATTTGGGATTGGTTTTGGTTCGAGCTCGGTGGTTGCTGCGTTGTCCTCGCCTCCCATATCTGAACCAGAGAAGAAGCCGCCATGGTTTCGTTTCTCGACGAATTCTTACCGGGTTGACCCGAAATAGGTAAATTCAGATCCGGGTCGGATCCTAGAGAAGACGATGATGGGACTTCTTCTTCGTGCCGAGATTCCTCTGTTTTCGAGAGCCGATGGTCTGAAACAGAGGAAGAATCCGGAACCGTTTTGGTGGAACCATCAACATTCTCACCAGAGACGCTGCAGTTTTCGAGATGATCTCTGACAAAAACATTGAGATTCTTCTCGAAGGCAACGTGTATGTTTCGGACATTGTTGTTGTTGTTGTTCTGGTTCTTCTTTTTGTTGTTGTCTCCTCGGAGGCATCTCTCGTGAGGGCTCAATACGCAATTAAAACTCTGGCATGAGGAAATTTCTACCTCAGAGGACGCCATTTCCATCAACACTAATATCAAAAACACAAATCCTATTTAATCGGATCTTTCTCTGTAATATGTTTTTTTTTTTTGATAAAAAAATTAATGGTCTGTTTCTAATTTCTTGATCCCTTCTGGGGAAGAAGAACAAGAGCATCGAAACAGATAAAACCCCATTTGATGATGATGGAGATTTTCGAACACAAACACGAAAGTTTTGATTGACAAGAGGAAAGCGAAGAGACAAAACAGGGGAAAGCGAAGAGACGGAGCCCGAAACAGAGCAATGGAGAAAAAAAGGCTGAGAAGAAAAATTAAAAGTCCTGCTGTTTTTCTCTATTCTTCTTCTGTTTTTTTTAAAAAAGATTTGATATTATTAAAATCCACCGATATTATTTAGGGAAATAATATTACTACCTTTAGGAAAAAAATCCAAATAAGTTGTAACTTTGAAAACTAAAAAAAAAAAGTTATAAGAGAGACATTTTAGCCCAAAAAAGAGAGAGAAAGACAGTGTCAAAGAAAGAGGGAGAGCATAATTATGGCATTCTCTAAATGGGAGTTGACTCGCCTTTAATTGATACAGTTTCTTTTTTATTTCAAATTTACTGGTAACATTAGAGGTATTTCTAGTTAAACACTTTTATTAATCAATTAATTGGACATGAATCTGGATATAACTTGTTTTTGGGGAGAAGAATCTGGATATACTTAATGATCAGTGTTATTGGATTATCTTTCACAAAAGATTAAGTGCTGTGTAGATATAACTTGTTTTTGGGGAGCAGAATCTGGATATACTTAATGATTAGTGCTATTGTATTATAATATTTCAAAAAAAAAATAGTGTTATGTAAAAGATAATTTTTCCAACTCACATATTAATTACACATTTACATGTAACAAAATATGAGCCATTATCTTTTTTTTTTTTTACAAAAGGGTTAAAATATGAGCCATTATCATGATTATGAAATCAACATTAAGATAAACCATTCTATTTCTCTTTCTTATATACTGTATAATTTTATGAATTATAGTATCAAATAAACGTTCCACTTATTGTATATGGTAACTCAAAGGAATATTTTTTAGTCTTTGACGCGTGTGATTGATACTACTTTTTTTGGGTACTTTTTTTTCTTCAAGTTCATGACACTATTAGGTGGATTTACTAAAATCAAATATTCTGGGTGATTTTTTAAAAAATGAATAATAGGTAACTATTTTTGTAGTCTTTGACTAGCGAAATTTGGAGTTTTACATCTGGGGTCAAACTCTGTTCCAATTAATGAATTTAACTAAATTTCGGTAAATAGAGTTTTGACGGTAGCTCAAGTCTAATTGGGATTTCGTAGTTTTAATCATCGCTAAAACACTACTACTTTAGCTCCTTCTGTTCAGACTTACTAACATTTTCAAAATTTTATTTATTTTTACACTGTATAAATTTTAGAAGTCTCTAATCATCAATAATCTCCACCAGAAACCAACTTCTGATAGTATCATGTTGAAGGCGTAGATTATAACACTTCAATGAAATTAAACTAGTAATTTTAAAACTAGTACTTATCAACGGTTGATATAAATAAAAATTAGTTTATGTCGAGTTTGGAATTTCCAACAATTTCCATACTTACTGGGTTGGCTTAAACATTTATTTCTAAGAACCCAAGATTCATTTCTAAATATATGACTATAAATATTCAACCAAGATACCTGTCTAATTATGGGATTATGCTTTTAAATTTTAATTTCAAAGAGTGGTGACTAGATTTTTTTTTTTTAACAATACATTATACAAGTTTGGATGTGATTATTATCACAAATGAATAGTTTTGAAGTTTGAAACGAATGACTAATCTCTAGAATTAGTTGTTCTAAGTTTGAGGTTTTGGGCTCTAATATTTTTGTTATGCGGACGAAGCCCATTTGAATACAAAAGAAGCCTTATACATTTTTCACTTTTCATTTTTGAAGACAAACACACACACATACACTAAATGTATGTGGGCCCAATGTGGTGCAGCTAAACTAAGTCCGAGTAGTCACTAAACCGGAGATCGGAGACCCGTCGACTAAAAACAAAAGCAGCAATTCAACAAATTTCAGAAGATCGAAGAAGAAGAAACGATGCCTCTGAGTGCAACAATGGTTGGAGCTTTGCTGGGTCTCGGTACCCAGATGTACTCCAACGCTCTCCGCAAACTCCCTTACATGCGCCGTAAGCCCACGAATCCAATTGCAATTACCCTAATTTTGTTTTCATTTTGGATTGTTGAGAAAATGCGATTCCGATTGGATTCTGGTTCTGATTTTTGTTGTTGTTTTTGTGGTGAAATTTTGGGTGATGGATTACTGTAGATCCGTGGGAGCATGTGGTGGGTATGGGACTTGGTGCTGTGTTCGCTAACCAGCTTGTGAAATGGGATGTGAAGCTCAAGGAAGATCTCGATGTGATGCTCGATAAAGCCAGGGCTGCCAATGAGCGCCGTTACTTTGGTTAGTAGTATATCTTTGATTTTCTCTCTTTTGTTTCCTCCTTCAACTTCTCAGATTTTGATTTGTTTTGGTTTTATGGGTTTGCTTGTTTGTAAATCGAATTTTTCTGCCGTTTGAAGAGAAAGAAAAATAAACGATTTTGGCATATCACAAGAGTTTCTTGGTGGAATTAGAGTGTTATTACACCAGACAATTGAAAATCAGGCTACATTGTGTCGTTCTTGTGATTTGGTTGTTCTTGTTATCTTGCTCAAGGATTAGTCTTTTGAAAGTTTGTCAACTGAGAGAATCGCCCTAAAGGCTTAGCTCGTTGCAAATCCGTTTAGTCAGGCACTGCTATGAAAAGTTAGACAATTTGAGCTACATAATGTTTTCATTAACAATATCTCAAATAAGTGTGGAAAGATAGATATGTTCGATTATTTCTTTGGCTCTAGATTTAGATAGGCTGCAACTCGCAAGCAATACTATTGCAGTATACGATACACAGAAACTAGATTCGAATTTGAAGGATCCACAGTTGTCTTATGTAGATGTGTCTAGTTTTAGACTTTTAGTCAGAGCTTCGTGGAAGTTTCTGTTAAACAACGGAGTGGATAAGTCTTCACTTACTCATCTTAAGTTCAAGGACTTTCTTGTTTACCTTCATGTTAAAATCTCTAGTTTATCGTGAGGGTCTGGCAGAATTTTGCGTATTACATTTCTTGTTTTGTTGGGATTTATATTAGTTTGCATACTTATATATTGACCTTTTACTTATACGACTGGGAATATTCAAACTTGTCGTTTGTTTTTGTTGTAATGCAGATGAAGATCGGGATTAGTTATTGAGTGAGAAGTCTTCTGGAAAGAAATGTCTTCCTCTGGAGTCATCTCAAATCTCAAGTGCTTGTTTTGTTTGATCTTCCCTGTAAAAGCTTTTCTTTTCATTTTTCTTAGAGCTGGTTCTCTTTTGCTTCGGCACTGGAGCTCTTGTCACTCAGTGTTTTTGGTTATGAACCTAAAGATTTGTGTGTTTTTCACAATCTGAATCACTTGAATCTGTTTGTACCTGGCTAATAATTTCGAATGAGAAACCTTTCATTACTTTTACGGTTCACAACTACATCTTCTTTTGCTAGATTGGAAAAATTCAAAAAAAAAAAACTCAGGTTGCATAGAAAAGCAATCTTGATTTCGTGACTTGCTAGTAGCCAATACATATATGCAGTCAAAACAAGAAGTGTTTGTGGAACTGCCACTCTATACAAAGCAGATAAATACAGAATTTGAGAAAACAAAAAAATATTCAAGTTTGCAATTTTATGTCTTCAAAATCATTTGTAGGCATCAGCTTACAGCTTCTTATAACCGGCTGTTCTATTGTTGAAGACATGGAGAAGGCTATCACATGCTTGTCTAGAAGATGGTCTCTCTTGTGGAGAAGTTTTTGTGCATTGAAGTGCAATCTCGAGCACCTGATAACCCGCGTCTTCTTCAAATGGCAAAAGAGGCTTAAGCTTTGGATCTATGAGCTTCTCTCTTGTGGAACCCGCTACCTCAAGATGTGTTTCAACCCATCTCACCATATCCATCTCTGCGCCAAACACTGACTCGGTTGGCATTTTCCCTGTCACAATCTCCAACAACACTATCCCCATACTATAGACATCACTCTTCTCAGTCGCCTTCAACGAGTAAGCATATTCTAGAAACACAATTTTCTAAACATTAGATTTTCAAACAGTTGAATATGCAAAAGCTAGGAAACTTGAGAAGAAGAAGATAAGTACCTGGAGCAATGTAGCCGTAAGAGCCAGCAAACCAGGTATTTGACTCTGTGTTGGTATCATAGTTCTCAGTTAAGACCTTTGCAAGACCAAAATCTCCTAAATGTGCTTCCATGTTGGAATCAAGGAGCACGTTGCTGGATTTGATATCACGGTGAACGATTGGAGGAACACAGTCATGATGAAGGTACTCAACTCCTTGAGCCAATCCTACTGCTATTCTCAATCTTGCTTCCCAGTCTAAAAGCTTCTTCTTTGATTCGATCACTGGTTTGTCTTCATGAAACCAATCCCAAACGCTTCCGTTCTCCATGTACTCATATATCAACAGATTCACTCCTTCTGATTTGCTGCTGCAGTAACCCATTAACTTAACCAGATGTCTATGTCTGATTCTTCCAAGCGTCTTAACTTCTCTACTGAAGCTCTTGTTTGACATGAGATCATCCTTCCAGAGAATCTTTTTCACAGCAACCGTCTCACCATGCTCAAGCTCAGCCTTGTAAATCTTCCCAGAGCCTCCTGATCCAATCATGAACTCCTCGCTGAGACTATTCGTGGCTTCCATTATGTCCTCCCACCTGATATCTGACTTTGAAGCTCCTGTTCGAAAGAGAGGCTTGTGTGTAGCTTGTGAAGATGAGCTTGACGATGAATACGCAGTGCTTCCATCTCTCACTTTCTTGAAGAAATCATGCCTTTGTTTGAAGAAGAGAGCGATGACAAGTATCATCAAAGCAATTGCTGCCAATGCTGAGATTGCTGATATAATAACAACTGATCTCGCACTAAGACCTTGTTGCCTGTTCTCTCTCCCAGCTCTGTTGCAATGAACAAGAGGGCTTCCACAGAGACCTGTGTTGCCTATAAAAGAATCAGCTGGCCATCTTGAGAACTGTTTCTTGAGTTTCCCTTCAAAGTTATTGAAAGAGAGGTTGAGATAGCCCAAACTCTTCATATCCCCTACCGCACCAGGAACTTCTCCGGTCAGCTGATTGTGAGACAGATCAAGGGTTTCCAGCTTGAGTAATGTCCCAATCGTGGAAGGTATATCTCCGGTGAAGTTATTGTAGCTGAGGTCTAACGCACTTTGAAGATCCTGAAGCTGTCCAATCTCAACTGGGATTTCTCCTGTTAAGCTGTTTCTTGATAGCCGAAGCTCGTAAAGCTTGCTAAGCTTGCCCATAGCTTGAGGAAGTGAACCTGAAAGCTGGTTCTTATCCAGACTAAGTACATTGAGAGCTCCCAAGTTACCAATCTCTTGAGGGATAGACCCGTTCAGAAAGTTGCCATCAAGAGATAACACAAGAAGCTTTGTACAGTTGCACAACTCAGTAGGTAAAGACCCATCAAACTGGTTAGAAGAAAGCTTTAGCTCTCCTAACTGTGAAAGCTTTCCAAGCCATGGAGGTATAGGCCCTGAGAGGAAGTTGTTGTTGAGATCGATGTGTGTCAGTTTCTTGCACAAGACGAGCTGAAGCGGTATGGTTCCAGTGAGAGAATTGCTTGAGATATCCAATAGAGACAACTCTCGGATTTTCCCCAACGTCCAAGGGATTCTTCCTGTGAACTGATTCTTCCCTAACCTGAGACGATCAAGATTCGGAGAGTTCCCTAGCTGAAGAGGGATCTCATCTTCAAACTCGTTGTTGGTGACATCGAACGAGAGAAACGAGCTCGAACCACACAGTGGAAGGATCGTACCGTTGAGCCTGTTGTGAGAGAGGTTGATCCTTGTGAGATTCTTCAGATTGATAAGTGAATCAGGAAGGTTTCCATGGAGTGAATTGTTGTAAAGCATGAACTGTTCCAAACCGTTTAAGAAACCGAAAGAAGAAGGAATCGATCCCGAGAGCTGATTATCCGCCAAATCCAAGATTTTCAGTTGGTGACAGTTACCTAAAGTGGCGGGAATGTCACCAACGAGCTCGTTTTGTCTCAAGTGAAGCAGATTAAGCGCTTTCAATCTTCCTATCGAAGGAGGAATCTCTCCTTTGAAATGGTTCCCGAACAAATCAATCATCTTCAAGTTTGTGCAGTTTCCAATCTCTTTTGGAATTTCCCCTGAGAAACGATTCTCATAGAGAAACAGAACTTCTAGTTTCTTCAACAAGCTGATCTCCTTTGGTACCTTGCCTTCCAAGTTATTGTGATACAACACAAGCCATTGAAGATTTGTGAGGTTTGATACGGAAGGAGATAACTTACCCTCCAAGGTATTGTTGTGAAGATAGAGATCCGTGAGTTCGACTAGCTGAAACAAGTCCTCAGGGATCGAGCCAGAGAGCGAATTGTTCGATAAATCGAGCTGTTTAAGCGACTTGCATTTGCTAATCTCCACAGGGATTTCACCTGAAAGCCGAGTTCCAGACAGAACCAGTTGCTCCAAGTTTGTGTTGTTCGAACATATACTCTTTGGCAAAGAACCAGAGAGAAAATTGTTCGCTAAAGCCATGTCAAGAAGCTGACTCATGTTCCATAGCTCTTCAGGTATCTCTCCGGTGAGATTATTCGCCGATAAATCAAGTGTTTGAAGATTTTGTAGATTAACCAAAGCCTTTGGGATAAGACCTTGAAGACTGTTTCCCATCAAGTTAAGGTACTCGAGCTGGCTCAGCTCACCGAGTTGACTCGGTATCTCTCCCGAGAGACTGTTGCTCGCCAAGTTCAGTATCTCGAGGTTCTCGAGCCGACCCAACTCCTCCGGTATCGTCCCGTTGAGCCTGTTCTCCGCCGCGGTGAGCACGGTGAGGTCGGAGCAGTTTCCTAAATTCGCCGGGATGGGTCCTTCGAGATTGTTGTCCTGAAGTATCAGTGATCGAACTCGGACGAGTCTACCGAGTTGACTCGGTATGGGACCGGTGAGTCTGCACGAGGCGAGTGCAAGCATCTGGAGATTGACGAGGTTCCCGAGCGTCTCCGGGATGGCTCCGACGAGGTCATTGTCTCCGATTCGGAGCGAGCGGAGGTTGAGGAGGGAGCCGAGTTGACTCGGGATCTCTCCGGTGAGTTGGTTGGAAAAGAGAAACAGAGACTCCAAGGAGGAAAGGTTGGAGAGAGCAGTTGGGATGGGACCCGCGAGATTGTTGGAAGATAGATCGAGGTGGATTAGGTTGTCGAACCGGCCAAACGAAGGTGAAATCGAACCGGTTAATCCTAAACCGGAAAGGTTAAGAGCAACGACGCGGAATAAACCGGTATCGTCGCAGGTGACGCTGGTCCAAGAGCAGAAATTGATGTTGAGAGAGTTCCATTGTGGGAGGAGATCGTTTTCTTGTGGATTCGTGACGAAAGATTTCTTCACCTCGAGAAGATTCTGAAGATCTTGCGTAGGACCGGTTTGACCCGAAATCGAACCGAGAGTAGAACAGAGGACGAACAGAAGAAGAAGAAGAAGAAGAGACTGCATGTTTCTCTTCTTTGTTGTAGTAAGAAATCAAATGGCTTCTTTTGTTTTTTGACAATGGCGTAGAGTTTTTATGGCATTATTTGATTTTTGTTGCAGAGACTGATGATGAATGAGAATGAGGATTGGTTATCAGAACGGTGCATAGGGACTCTACCTCTCTGTATAAATGCAGAAACTTTGAGAATTAATGTGATCGCTCTAGTTTCTCTCTCTTCTGTACATGTTTTTGTTCTTTCTTTTCTCTTTTACTGTTTTATTGAGACAGAGAGAGAGAAAGAGAGAGAGAGAGAGAGAGAGAGAGAGAGAGAGAGAGAGAGAGAGAGAGAGAGAGAGTTAATGAAGAGATGGGGCAATGTGAAAGGAGAGAGAGAGAGAGAGAGGTCAGAGGAGAGAGATGGGAAAAATGGAATGAGAAGGCTCGTAGATAAATGTTTCGGCTTTTTATCAATGGCGGCAAAGGTCAACGGTCATAAACACACATATAGAAGAGTGTGTACGTGATTATCCGTGAAGACATGTTAATTATTAGTATAGTACACTATGTTACAATTAAACTCTGCCTAAAAACTTTGACAAAACATTAGTCTTATTATAAAACACAGTCCACAAAATATACAAATCAATATGCACATCTTTTATTTTCCCTTTTTGACGTCCATTGTATTCATATCAAACTTGTAAAGTTGTATAATCATAAATCATTATAAGCTTAGCTTACTATTCCATCCGGCATTCCATTGTACAAAATTTCTCATTTCACAGTTTCCTTTTAATCTCTCGCCGAAGAACATGATTACTACTCTGAATATTTAGAATGTGGACTCTGCACGATATCTCTTTTTTCTTATTTATAGTCATGAGAATCAATCATTTGATCTTGATCATATATCAAAAGCCAGTTTTTCAAAACCTTTATCCAACAAAAATATACAAAAAATGCCAGTTTCGTGAGAAGTTGTAGTTGCTTCCTTTCTGTTACGTTTCAGGAAGTTTAGTTGTTTAAGTAAGGGGTTAATTATGAAAAGTAATAAATCAGATTCTTTATAAGAAAGAAAATTGGTGATGCATGGCTTTGACCTTGGCCAAGGAAAAAGAGTGGTTGAGACAATGACTTGGTTGAAGGATTTTTTTTTTTGGTTTGGTTAAGTGTGTTAGCTTCTCATCACTTCAACCCTTTCACGATAAAGGAGAGCAGTTGTGTTTCCAAAATTAATACGTATACGTCATTATACGATATGCCCTATATTATTACCGAGTCAAATGTTTTATTTTTATCATCATTCTTTTTCAGTATTACACAAATTATGCAGCATATCAGATTGTGCTACTTATCTGGTTCGGTGATACCTTCCCAATCTATTCCATCGAACAAAAGAACTATAACTCGTGGATTTTGAACAATTTCATCCCGTTTCCGTTAATGTTTTGAGTTATTAAATAATTGTGGTTAGTTGTATATATAAAATTGTTGTTCCTTTCGGAATCTAGCTTGAACTTAGTCCTATATAATTTATAAATAAAATTTGCATAATTCGTCAAGAACTTTACGTCATTTTCCAAATATTATATAAATTTTGGTTGACTGTGATAATGCGAGATCGAATCAAGTTTACGTACAACAACTTTTTCGATAATTGAACGGGGAAAAATTTTAAATTAAAACATGCATAGATTCTAAATCCAAAAGGATGAGACAAAGGAATTATCTTCGATCCACCAAAAAGGTCAAGATTCTTAATTTTATATATATTTTTTTTGTTTTGTTTGGTTGGTTATACTCAGTTCGATCTTGAATTCAAGGTAATTATATTTTGTCATTTCATTATGCATGGCAAAAATTGTAAACACATAGTGGTTTTATTTCAAGGACAAAATATTGATGATATAATAATTAAGTTAAACATTTTTTGGGTATAAAAATGATATCATAAGATATACATTATAATAAGATAAATATAAATGATTTTTTTTTACATAGATGAGATAAATGATTAAGAACCATATTAGTCACGATATCATAGAAATACCCAAAGGTATAAAATGGGTTGCTTATTGTTCTGTATAACTCAAAGTAGGTTTGATTGGTTTGGACCGTAAATTTTTGTTTTTAAAGGGTAATGCTAAAGAGTAAAAGAAACGCAATATGATTTGATTGATTAGTCTAACCACAAGGTTAATTAATTTAAGTAATAATCCATTCCAATTTAGACTAATCATCAGTTTTTAACTAGCAACATTGAATTTTAGTAAGGTTCAAAAGAAAAAACATTGAATTGGACGTAAGTGACAATTACCCTAAAACATTTGAGACTAATCATGTTTAGGGACTTAAAATTTGCAAAGGAACACTACGATGCAGAAATGGGGATTAAACATCCAATAATTAAGGGTTAATTACATTTGAGTCTTAAACTAGTCCCACCAAATGGATTTTACTTGTAACCACCAAGTTCAAGATCAGAAAAAGCCAATGCATGGTTCCAAAGTGTTTGTTGGCTAATCAAACCCATTAAAACAGCAAATAAAGAAGACTTTATGATTGGTTTACGATTGCAATTAAAACAAACTTACACATTTAGTCTACCTGTCCCATACAAACGCATAAAATTACACTAAACAAAAACAGAACTATTCAATATTAAGGTGCAGTTTCTAAGTAGCTCAAAAACAATGAGGACTAAGTACGAATCTCAGCTCTGACCCGGAAAGAGAAAGATCAAATCTTTTTCGCTTCGGATCAAAACAGTAACCGGTCTTGATAGATGTCAAGTGCCTTGATGATCTTCCCAATGAACATCTTCCTGTGCATTCTGTACTTCACTGCTGTCACAAACGTTGTTCTTGCTTGCGGCATTGAATCTGTAACAAGAAAAAAAAAACGAGGGAAAGCTAAAGTTTTAATCTTTACACGACAAATCCTCAGTGTATATACATCACTAATGGTTATAATACCTAGCAATTTTTGGTCTTGCTCTGAAGTTGTGGGATATTCCGCAAGAATCTTTCGACACTCATCTTGCAACTCTTTCACCGCTTTTCTCTCTGCACTCGGAATTGGAGGGAGATCTATGTCTGACCAAGTAGGCAATGTTCTTGCTGCAGCTATAACTGCTCCATCAACAAAGGAATCACCTCCAGATAACTCGCCTGCAGACAAATTTAAACTATGTAAGTATCAACAGAATAAGTAGCATTTTGTTGCTTATTTTCTCTAATAGAATGGAAACGAATGAAAATGAACTTACTATCATGGTAATATTCTTCGGGAAGGCCAAAAATATTGAAGACCGATAAAAAAGTGTTTAAATGGATGCGAGAATCTCCAGAGAACTTTATAGCATCCCATGGATTCTGCAGCAGACCCAAACAAACTTGCATAAACAAGCAAACTTGCAAACTAAAACAAATGTGTTGCAGTAAAAAGCATTACCACAGGAGTTGAGAAGCCGTATCTTTCCATAAGCATGTTGTTCTTGTTTCCTGGCATGTAGTTAATCGTCATCTGCAAAAAGCATTATTAGAAACTGCGAAAACGTTTTTGATTTTGAAATCTGCAATAGATAAAACAGTGAAGTGAAGCTGACATGGTTATGGAACACATGAGTCCCTAACCTCTTCGCCTTTCTTAATCGATTGACCAGCATTGACATAACCTCAAGCATGCGATCTTTAGGACGCCAATGTAGGAAGCAGTTTGGTTCGAAGGAGTGGTTTAGCATATCTGCACAGAAGATGATTAAACCACTGCTAATTTCAAATGTGAGATAGTAAAACTAAAACAAATGCTTCCTTACCAGCATAAGGAATCATCATATTTAAGTCTTGAACCAAAGCACCGACCCTAGTTTTCATACTAATGCATCGTGTCTGTGCGATACTAACAGCCCACATGAATCTTTCTGGATCTTCGGCTAGCCTTTTGATTTTGAGAGGAACACCTGAATGCTGAATACAATATGTCAATGAAAAGAAAAAACAGCCATAACAAGAATGTTGAGATATGTTGGAAAAACAAACATTAGGCTTCATGCCTCGTTACCCAATTCTTTTCCCAAAATTCTAGGACTCGTTTCTGTTGTTGTCTAATAGTTGAAACAAGATCAGGATCTTGAAGCTCCGCAAGGTCTTCCTATAACAAAACACACAGAATTACATATCCACCAAGCATACATCACAAGATCAGTTAAAAATAACTCTTAATACCGATAAGTAAACTTGATTAGTTTCAAATGAAAAATCAATCCACCTCTGTGGCTAGAAGTAAGCTGCTGCACTCATCAGCAGCAGGCAGAAAATCACCATAGAGACGCCAGAAGTGATCTTCCCGATCAAAAGAGAATAACAGGAGACACGCTAATCTGAGATCCCAATCAATCTGTGAAATCCAAACACATGATTGCATTATAGAACAATCATAAAACCAAAAAAAATATGCAACTTTGTTAACAAGGAAAAGACTTTAAGAAAGCTGAGTACTTTCGAGTAGTTGATGACATCGAATAGCACACAATGCATTACCTCAGGATCAGTAGAGTTGATAATATCGAAAATCGGATGACCAATAGGCACAATGTCAGGGAAAAACATCCAAGGGTGCTTCTGTCTAATGGTTATCATCAATTCATGAGGAATCTCCATTATCACCTGCCAAGAGAAAACAATTAAAACGAAGGAATCTATAGAGAAGAAAAAAAGAAAAAAAGTTGTGAACTTTGAGCTAAGAAGGCTGACTCTAGCACGACGGCGAGGCTCGATATCTTTAGAGGCATAGACACCAAAACCATCAGGGCCTTCCTTAAACTCAACACCATAAGCTCTCACACTTCGAACATAACCAATTTTGTAGAAATCCGGATCTGCTGGCTCCAGCTAGTGAAGAAGAGAAAACACTAAACTTAACCTCACAGATGTGGGAAAATGCACAGAATTTTCTAAAGTCGCCACCTTTTCGAGCTCATATAAACCCTAATAACACTCTTTTTATGCTGAATTTTTAAGGATAAATTCAAAAAAACTCGTACCTCGGACGAGGAGGACTCCTCAGAAGCAGGAGACTGAAATAAAGGGAAAGGTTGTTTCTCAAGAGAAGCAACTCTGATGGGTCGGACTTCATTTTGTCTCTCTCTTACGAAACTGCTTCTGGGTTTTGGTGCTGGCACAACTCCGTTGCAGAATCCCTTTGGCCGGACAGAAAAAAATGAGTAAAACCCATTAAAATCAATACAAAACAAGATTAGGTGTGAAGAGATGGATTAAGAACCTGAGGTTTGGAGATAAAGGAGTTGATCAGGTAGTGAAGAGAGACGGAAGAAGAAGCCATTTCCTCAACTGAAATAGCGCCAGAAAAGAAATGGGTTTAGGAGAGGGAGACAACATCGTTATCCTTTTGTTTTCAAGTTTCAACTATATGGATATAAATATTTACTTGTAAAACATTTGTCAAGCAAAGCTTTCATAGCTCAGTTGGTTAGAGCACCCGTTTAGTAAGCGGGAGGTCTTGAGTTCAACTCTCAATGAAAGCAATTTTCATTTTTTATTTTGTTTTCTCTTGATAAATCTCTCTCAGCTTTCTGTCATATAGGAAAAGAGAGACTAGTATTTCTAAAACTTACAAAATCCATTCAATGAAAGCACATGTACCACTTTTTGTTTCTTTCCTCTTAATAGAATTGTAAGTAGATACAGAAAACATCCCAACGTTATGGAAGGCTTCTTTTTTTTTTTTTTTGGTCGAACGTTATGGAAGGCTTCTTTACACCCAAATTTGTCAAGACAACTGTAGAATTTCATTATTTTGGCCATGAAAATAGACATAACTCTTATCTCTCTATCTCACTCTTTTTTTTTTCCTTGTTTGACAAAGTAAATCATAGATACATTACATGATCTCAAACATTTCTTTGTGCAAGGAACTAAGAATCTGTTCCTGAAATCTACAAAGACAGATTTGGTTCCTTTGGTCAGGCAATGTTAGACTGTAGAGTTGTGTGTGAAAGGCTCAGCTTCTGATGGAACTTCACGAGCTCTTTGGCTCTCAAGTGGCATATACTGTGACATGATCGTCATAATCTCCGAGTCCATGTAAGACTGTGCCAAAAACCGCAAAGAAAAAAAAGCTAGTTGGTATATAAAACCCAAAAAACGTTCAATTCAAGAATGGTTCTGTGGAATTAGGAAGAGTACCCTAAACCGGTATTTGTAGAAAAGATAACCAGCTAAACCGGCTACTGCGACGATAGCTAGTATCAAGAGTGTGAGCCACCAAGCTGTTTTGGACCCATTTCTCTCTGCAATTATAGATGGTTTAAAGCAATGTAAATTACTTTTTTCTGTTATGAAATTAAAGGCTTGATTAATAATTTTTACCTATACAAGTATCTTGATCTTTTATGTAAAGCCGGTCACCAGAACAACTACATTTGTATCCTCCCCATGAGTTCTTGCATCTGCAACCGCTACATTGACACACTGAACTCTCTTTACATTCGTTTAGATCTGTCATAGGGCCAAATCAAAACACAAGATACATAAATGGTGAATGAGTCTGTTTTTACGAGACTAACATCGATAAGTTAAGATTTAGGACATGATTCTTGAGGTCTTACCTTCACAGTTATGACCATCGCCATGAAAACCTTCAGGACATTTACAGCCAGTAGACACAGAGTCCTGATTGTGCATAAGTAGTTTGTAATTGAATTGAAACAAGAGCTTTGAAAGGAAAGGATTTGATTTTGTTATATGAGAATCACTAAACTGAGCAAGCAGAGAAAGTTAAGCCATTTCTTGTATCAGACCAGCAACCTCCATTGTTGATAGTACACCTCGCAGGCCCATAAGCTGCAAAACTCAAACACAAAGCGGACATTCAAAGAAAAATCAAGAAAGTGGTCTCTCAACATTTGAGTGTGAACAACTTACGTGTACATGAAGTGTACCCGTCTCCTTTATATTGAACACCTTTTACAACCGGACACTCGCAGATTCTTCCTCTGAATGTGTCCTGATAAGAGACAAATCAAGACATTTATAGAACTTTAAGATACATATCTCTAATCAAGTTGATACAATTATAGACATACTTTACAAGCAGTTATGTTTGCTCTTGTATCCTGCCAGCAACCACCATTATTTTCAAGACATTCATTTGTCTCTAGTCCTGTGTTTAAGCAAATGGGAGGATCAGATGTTTCGTTGAATCCAGCGCATATCGCCTTTAGAACAGCGGTTCTCTCCAATCTCCCTTCACAATCACAATCAATAACAACAAAAATCTTCAGTATCTTCAGAAATTTCCGTATCTTGAAAACTTCAAAGAAGCAATCCAAACCTCGATATTGGGCGTTATTGATGACTAATGTTGGCAATATCGTTACATCTCCTCGCTCTCCTCGGCCAAGCTTTGAAGTTGCATACATTAAAGTTAGTAACCAAACTTGATGAATCCATCCAATAAGAAAAAGGCACAAAAACTGACCTGAACTAGTTGCTCAGTTTTCAGAACTTGGTTCTCAGTATCAGCCTCAGGATCGCCCATGCATTTTTTGATCTTCTCAACGGGTAGATCTGAGACAATTCTTGAAAATTCATAACAAAGAAAGAAAGAAAGAAAGAAAGAAAGAAAAAAGGACTCTTACTCAGAGATTTGATGACATTTTCAGCACAATCCATGCTATATTTCTTCTCCTTCATCGAACAACGAGCATGAAAATCGGTAACATAATCCCACCAAACCCAAGACCGGCTACTCTCATTCGCAACTCTATGCACACAAAGCTGTCTCAGATTCTCAAAGACAACATCTTTCCCTTCATACCCTTCTCTGAAATTATGCTCAGGGTCAGGAGCACAATACCTCCCATGGTTTATACACTGAGACTTACACTGTGGAGTGTTTATGAACTGAAATGGGCAAAACCAAGTGATATAATGCGGCGTGAACGCGGTATAATCGCCTCTCTCAAGAATCTGAGCATGACCCTTGAAGTTCTTGACAAAATCCATCTGTTCATCGCACCGTGCACCACACTCGTCGTTGCTATTAGTCCACAGCTCGTACTCTACTCTCTGATCAGGATGAGGCACAGATTCCCTCCAGTCTAGCTTCAAGACTATGTCTTTACCTTTCTTAAACCCTTGTCTTAAGCTATCTCCGAATGATTTCTCGATTAGAACCGATGGAATTGTTAGCTTCTCGATAAACCCATCTGCGTCTCTGCTCTCCTCTGGTGAGTCCATCGTCAACAATGGCTCGTCTATATTATCTGCCACAAGAACTGCCGCAGCTCCTGCTTGTTGTGCGTGCCATGCCTTTAAGGCAAAATAGCAACCTGTAACATCCATTAATGGAGCAAAGAAAAACATTTAAAACATCAACAAAGACCTGATCTCAAGTCCTATACATAGGGATTTTGAAGGGACTTGAGTTATAAGAGTTTAAATCTTCTGTTAAAAAAAAAATCAAATCTTTAAACTCATATCTAAATTGCAGCACAACCCATAAATCCTATTGGCTTCTACAATTTAAATGGCGAGTTGCAAGGGACACTAGTTATTAAAGTTTGAGTCTTTGAATGATCCATCAAAGTTTCGATCAAATCTTAGAGGAAAGAAATGTTCTTTCAAGTTTTATTCCAAAATATCAGTAAATGAAAACGAAAACAGAGGTTTCAAAGATGTTTTGAGTTCCTTACCTCCACGATCGAGAAGCAGAATAGTGGGACGAGGAAACTTGGGCTTGAAGGTTTTAGCAAAAGCAGAGCAACCATCGGTTTTACTATCCGGGTAAACCACTGACCCGATCAGAAACCCGCCGTAATCGGGTAAACCGAAATTGGCGATCGAGCCGTCGCGCTTCGACCTCATCTCCTCCGGATTCAGCACGCTTATACTCTCTTTCTCCACGACGAACCTCGCGTCGACGACGACTATGGCGATGATGGTCAACGCAGCGAGGAGAGAGGTCAACTCTCTCACGTTGACTAAACCCATCTCTAAAAACACACCAAAAGTTGGATTGAAGGATAAGTTTTGGGAGATGGATCAACTTTGCTGGTATTTTCTCGGAGTGTTGCCCGGGAAAATTGAAAGAGGGCCAAAAATCAAAAACAGAGATGAAAAGAGAAAACCGAAGCTTCTGTGTTAACTGTTTCTAATTGAAGATGGTAGCATACCAGTTTATATAAATGAGAAAGAAAAACAATTTATAAAAAAAATGGAAAGGAATTGGAAGGTGTTAGACTTTTGTTAGTTTATGGTTTTTTCCAATAATGGTGGATGATAAAATAGGTGACTCGATCAACGCCTCGACTTTCAAGTTTGAAATGTATTAGACATTGTGTGTTGACGACGATAGACAATATATTTATGGGTACACGAAACTAATACTGTATTACTACGTGTTTAAAATTTTATATCATAAATCAAAAAATAATTAGATCAAGAATTGGATACATACAAAATTAAAATAAAGCTAATCTAGGAAAGTAATCATTGTTTAACATTAAAAGCTTTAAAATAAATACTAATAAGTATATGAAATCAATAAACACAAACTAAAATAAGATTAATATAAATTATTCATCTTTTTCTCTTTTTATCTTTTAATTTTTTTTTCTCTATCATTTTTTTCTTTCTTTATTTTTTTTGTTTTTTTGTTTTTTTATTCTTTATTTTCTATGTCTTTTTTTACTTTTTATTCTACTAGTTTTTCTTTTTCACGTCTTCTTCTTTTTCTCCACATCTTTTTCTTTTTCCTCTCGTACATCTTTTGATTTTCTTCTCTTCCAGGTTTTATTCTCTTTTTTTCTTCTTCTTCAATGTATTATTATTCTCTTTCTTCTTATTTTTTTTCTTTTCCTTTTTCATTGCCATCGTCTTTTTTGTTATCACCGACTTCCTATTCTTCTGGTGTTTTTCAGCTTTACATCATCTTCATATTCTTCTACTTTCTCTAATTCCTCATCTTTTAAGGTTTTCATCCAATTTTTTCTCTACCCTATCTTATTCTTCTTCTACTTTGTCTTCTATTTTATTTTATTTCTCTCCTTCAACAGATTCTTATTCCTCTTCTTCCAATTATTCTTACTCTCTCCAAATTCTTCATCATATTTAAAGATCTTTGTCTTATCTGTTTTTTTACTCCTCTCATGGTTTATATTTTCCATTTTTATTTTTTTCCTTATATTTTTGAGTTCTTTTTTTATCGTTATTTGTTTTCAAATTGTTCTTCTTTATTGTCTTCATCTTTTTTACTTTGCTTCTTATTCATCTGATTTGTCTTCGTTTTTTATCATATTTACCTTTTTCTACTTTGTCTTCTTCATCTTCTACTATCTACTGGTTTTCTTTTA